GTGTATGTGTAGTGCACACCTGAACTCTGCAAGTAGCACACCCCTGGACCCTGCACTCTGTATATATGTGTAGTGCACCCCTGAACTCTGCAAGTAGCACACCCCTGAACTCTGCAAGTAGCACACCCCTGGACCCTGCACTCTGTATATATGTGTAGTGCACACCTGAACTCTGCAAGTAGCACACCCCTGGACCCTGCATTCTGTGTGTGTGTAGCACACCCCTGGACTCTGCACTCTGTGTGTATGTGTAGTGCACACCTGAACTCTGCAAGTAGCACACCCCTGGACCCTGCACCCTTTGTGTATGTGTAGTGCACACCTGAACTCTGCAAGTAGCACACCCCTGGACCCTGCATTCTGTGTGTGTGTGTAGCACACCCCTGGACCCTGCATTCTGTGTGTGTGTGTAGCACACCCCTGGACCCTGCATTCTGTGTGTGTGTGTAGCACACCCCTGGACCCTGCATTCTGTGTGTGTGTGTAGCACACCCCTGGACCCTGCATTCTGTGTGTGTGTGTAGCACACCCCTGGACCCTGCATTCTGTGTTTGTGTGTAGCACACCCCTGGACCCTGCACTCTCTGTGTATGTGTAGTGCACACCTGAACTCTGCAAGTAGCACACCCCTGGACCCTGCACTCTGTGTGTATGTGTAGTGCACACCTGAACTCTGCAAGTAGCACACCCCTGAACCATGCATTCTGTGTATATGTGTAGTGCACACCTGAACTCTGCAAGTAGCACACCCCTGGACCCTGCACTCTGTGTGTATGTGTAGTGCACACCTGAACTCTGCACGTAGCACACCCCTGGACCCTGCACTCTTTGTGTATGTGTAGTGCACACCTGAACTCTGCACGTAGCACACCCCTGGACCCTGCACTCTGTGTGTAGTGGACCCTTGAACTTTCCAACTATGTGTGTAATGCCCCTTTAAGACCCTCCCTGCTGTTTGATTTGGTTTGGTAATTGTGGGTGGGGGGGGGGGCATAGTTGAGTTCCTGCACCTATTCTCTGAGGGAAAAAAAAAAAGCCCTGTGTTTTGGGGACAAATAGTTTTAAGACATTTCCTGTTCTTACAGAGCTATCATTTTTTTTCCCAAATGACAAATCAGTGTTACAACCAGTATTTTACTTCTCCGAAGTAATCTTTTTTTTTTTTTTTTTTTTTTTTTTTTATTCTGTAAGGAGGCTTTAGTTTTCCTGTTAACAAGTCTATAGATACTTCATAAATAGGTTTTATTTCATATTTTTTTTCCTTTCATTTTCCACTTTAGAAGCTTCATAATGACATCTCGCAAATAAGGTCTCAGGAGTCTGCTGTTCAGAAAACCGATGGAGATAGCCGAGGCTCTGAATTTGTACTGTCAAAGTGTGAGGATCTGCTGAATGAAGTGGCCATATTGAGAGATGAAAAGAAAACGTTATGCCAAGCCCTAAAGAGCTTCCACGTTGCTTTATGTGCTGCTAGACAGACATATGAAATATTGTGTAAGGAGAAGGAAAGTCTGAAAATGTAAGTTGTCATGTCCTACATGTGTTGTGTATCTGAGGAAAAACTATTTAATATGACCAAAATACCAAATACTGTACTCTGATGTTGAGTTGTTCAACTCTGCTTATCATTAACAATCGCCCACTGCAAGAACTGGTACATACCCAAAGCTTAAACTAAACGCACAGCTTTTTATTTATTTTTTTTATTTCTTTTTTAGTTTTGGAAAACGTGCAAAGGGTTTAAAACACCTGTCAGTTTTTATTGCTGTCTGTGCCTCGTTAGGGAGATTTATTCTCTCAAGTTGTCCTGTTTATTGTTCTCAACGAAAGTGAAACTAAAAGAAAATCTCACGTTATGAGATGACATCAGAGCACTAATAGAAGGGAAGTCTTCCAGTTGGGACACTACTTGTGAACCTGGCAAAACAGTGATTCCCCTTACTTTGGAGAGATTTTCTCTCACTTCCTGTTTTGGCTATGGGACAGGAAGTGAATGAAAATCATCCCAATGAGACACAGATGGCAGAAAACTGAAGGGGTTATAACCCTCCCTTTATCCAAAATGAAATAAAAAGTTTTTCCTTTAGTTACACCTTAAACTAGCAATACTTGTGTTATAACCTGATGACTTGAAAATGTTATTGTTGGTAGTTGGGTGGCTAAACTTGTTAATTATGTCAAGCAAAGCAAAGTAAAACTACTGTACTTTTAGAAACATCAATCACTATATTGGCATAAAACAAGTCTTGCTTTAAGTTACCAGCTTTCTTGGTGCGTCTATGACCAACATATGCTTAATTGCGAATAGTCTTGAGGTTTGAATTTGGGTCCAACTCAAATTTAACCATATTTTCAGAGTTAATATTTAGTGGAATTTTTCTAGTTTGAATTTTGAATTGCTTTGAAGTTAATTAGGGTTTTTATTTTCGTCTTTGCAACCACCCAAATGCCATGGGAAAGACCCCACATCCCCCAACTGAGTGATCTTTTGTATTGCTTCAAAACAGCAAAAGGTGAACATAAGAAATGATTTCCCATTGTCTTCACCGCAAGTTCAAAATTTGAGTTCGGTATTTTTTTTTCCTAAATTTGCAAAATTTGGGTTTAATTATTCACTAGTTGGCATTTTAATGAATCCTGCAGTAAATCTGTTAAATTATTTAAAGAAGAATTCCTGGAATTACTCTTGAAAATAACAGCAAGAGATGAGGGTAAATTGTTATTTCTTAACTCTCTACTGTTCTGTCCAAGAAGCATATCTGCTGAAATTGGGATATTTCTTGTTCCTGCTATTTTATGAATAGAATCAGTCATTACAATAGTTGCCCTAGAGATTTCTATTGCAATGACTAAGGCAGGCCATAGATGACGCAATGTTCTTTCCTGCAACCACGGGTTGCAGGAAAGAAAATCGCTGGCATCCCTCCCGCAGAGATGGTGTTCTCCCAGTGGAGGGGACTTAGGGAGCCATCTCTGCCAGGAGAACACCGATTATTGTTAGCAGCTATTGCTGGTGACAATAGTCTCATGCTGAAAATCCTACATGCTGGTTGTACCCAAGTCAGTCAAATCCCTACTGAACATGGCTCGAACCATCTATGGCCCGCTTTATTCCTCTGAAGAAAAAAAAAAAATCAGGGTTCAGTACCAGTTTTAAGAAAGCTGAATCGCTGGGCAGGACAGAGTTAAGTGTGACTAATGCTTTTCACTTGTCCCCCACTGTCTTTATCAGATATAACTCCTGGAGCTCTCTTTTAAATATAAATCAACTTGTACTGTGTCTAAGTGTTTTATTCGCAATAATCCCTTACTAAGAAAAAATACACAGATTCTGTATAACTAAATAAACAAACAATACTTTATATAAAACATTGTATGAAAAATAGTAAATTGATATTTTGATTCTGAAGCTTTGCTGTCTTCAAGACATTAAATTCAGATCTTTTTTTTGTTCATTCCAGTGCACCCACTGAAAGCCATATAAGTCAGCTGGACAAAATAAAACATTTCCTTGATAAAATGGAAAAGGAAAAAGTTAACTTGCATGTCCTGAAGGCAGAACAGACGAATATTGGTCACTTAGGGATATCAAGCAAAGACGAGGATAGAATAGAAACCAAAGTGAGTCAAATAGAAGATCTGTGGGAACAGATTGAGTTCAACGTTTATAGAGAATGTGACCGCCTTACCAAAGAAGCTGAAGAGTTAGCAGTTCTTAAGGGTAAAGTAGATGATGTTCGGAGCATCATTCAGGTCCAGCAAAACCTGCTTGATCAGCCCTCTCCTTCTCCAGAAAATGTCCTTAATGCTTCATTGGGCCTTTTTGCAGAGATGCAAGCCATTAAATATTGGTTTAACTTGCTAAGAAATACGTGTGATGTGCAGATGAAAAGAACATGGGGCAGAATTGAGCGCCAAGACCTGGAAAACTCATTGGATAGCTTGCAAAAAGAGCTGGAAAATCTTGAAGAACGCGTGAAAGACCGTCAACTTACTCGGTGTCAGACACCAGATGCGTTCTTGGAACAGTGCCCATCTCTAAAAAATTTATTCAGTTCACTCTTGTGGGTGAAGAAATCACAAGACAAGTGTTCCTCAGAAAAAGGTGTTGCACTTCTCCTGGGAGATGTAGAGCTGCAGAACACAACTTACAAAAAAGTGCAAAAAGAAATACTGGACAGAAAGTCTGTTGTAGACTCTGCCATTGGAGAGTCAAAGCACATCTCTGTAAGCTTTGATAGAGCCATGTCCAAAGACTTTAGCTCTTTCTTACAACAATTGCAGGAATTATATCAGGAGCAGATTATACAATCAACTTCAAGATTACAGCAGTTGGAGACAGGACGGGAAAAGAGGAAAGCGCTATTTTCAGAAATTGAAAAGCTCAAAGAATTACTGCAGAGTCTAGAGAAAGAAGCAACTCCAGTCAAAAGAGGAATATTTACTGCAACAGAACTATGTGAACAGCTGAATTGCTTAAAGGCCAAAACCACAGAAATGAAGGAAATTGAAGGTCTTGTCTTGACACTTCTCAGAAACAGCCAGAGCTATCACGGTGAGCTAAAAAGCTCTGAGCAGTTATATTTAAAAATGACATATTAAGAAGTCTTAAGTTGAAGGCAAAAAGAATACGAAGATTAGAGGAAAAGACATTTTGTTACACCAAAAAATTGCTAAGTATTTGTACCGAGTTTCAAGAAAGGTTGACCTCCCTCCATCGAAATTTGAATGCTTTGCAGCCCATTGAGCCAACGATGGACAAAGAGGCTTTGGTACTGGAGGCTTTTGAAAAGAAATTACAACTTTCCCAAAATGCTGTCGCATCATCTAAAGATCACTTGTCTCAGATATTGAGATATAAGGACTTGTTCAAGGATAACAGGCTTCACTGGGATGATTTAACCATTGGTGACTTACAGAAGAAATGTTTAAGCTTTACAGAGAGAAGTGGTCACTCAGAACATAGTGGACCAGAGCAAGGACATTACCAAGAGCTGTTGGAAAAAATCAGAACAATAGTTTGTTCCCTACAAAGAGAGTCTGAAACTATTGCAGCTGGTTTTGATATTATAGCTGCTCAAGTGTCATGTAAAAAAATAAAGAAAATAAGTGTTTTAATTGCAGAGGCACTGGGTTGGTTGTGCTCGGAACAGGCTAATAATGTGGACTCTCTCAGAGATGAAGAAAAGTCATTAATTGCTTTAGCAGAAAATATGGATCGATCATACGAAGCACTTAGCCAGCTTGTAGCTGATTACTACAAGAGGCCAAAACATTCTCAACATCAAGTGAAGCAAGCTTTGGGCACTTTAAATAGAATTGTTAGAGAGCTGCAGGAGCCATTTGTTAATGAGCTGGATGAGAACGAACTGCAAGAGAGGTTACTGAGACTTGAAGCTCTTGGAGAAATAAGCAAAGCAGAGGTACAAAGTGTATCATTGGTGTCATCACCTTCATCTACTGATGACCTCAGCAAATATCGTCAGGAAGTAGAGAATACTGGCCAACAAATTGAGACGAGGCTTCCAGAACACATTGTAAGTAGTGGTATATTTCATCTCCTTTGATCAATGTGTGAGCTGTCTTTGACAACCTAAACAATTGCTTATAAACTTTACACAAACCCTTCCATTGAGAATCTTCTTTAAAAGTGGACTTCTACCTAAAGCTGAACTCAAGCAAACCTCTAAATACACAGATGAAATACATAATGTATATGAAAGGTGTTTTACCTGCCAATAAATGTGTAATTCTGGCCATCCAGCACTGAGATTAAGGCCCTTTCCAATCTGTTTACTTAGAGGGGAATCTGCTGATGGCTGGTCTGTCTCCATTTATGTAGAACGGACAGACACAGCCGGCTGTCAGATGTAAACGGACTGTTTACACCCGACTGCCATCTAATCCCTTAGACGTATAGGGAAAGGATCCCCATCCATCTGTTTTTAGCAGATCGGATCAGATTGGATATAGGGGGGTGTACACTTTCACATATCAGTTTCACATCCGCTGCTCTATAGAAGAGAATGGAGGGTCTGATTGGGTCTGCCTAAAAACTGACAGGCAGACCCAATTGGTTTGTCCGAGTGAAAGGGGCCAAACACAGCACCACAACACACACGCAGTGAAGGAGCTGCATAATAGTGACAAGGTCATCCCTCTGCTTTCCCCTCCTGTCAGTAAGTTACTGGTCAGCATATTTACATGCTGCACACGATTGGCTGCTGTATAGGAGTTTTATATTACCTGCATTTAACACTTTTTTTTGTTTAATGTTTAATTCTATCTATCTAGGGTTAAGCTTTAAAGAGATCTTGTCACCATCTAAAAAAAAAAAATCCAGGTCAAGCACAGTAAAAGGCAGGTATTTTAAATGCATACTTGCAGCATTTTTCCTTTCCATTATTATTATTATTATACAGTATTTATAAAGCGCCAATAGTTCGCTCAGCGCTGTACATTACAAAGGGGGACAGAACATGTGACAGAACAATACCAATACAATGCAAAACATGAGGGGATCGAGGGCCCTGCTCTTTCGAGCTTACAATCTAGGAGGGAGAGGATGGTGGCACAGGAGGAGATAGCTGGGGGATGGAGTGGTAGGAAGAGTGGAGGAGGTCGGCAAGTTAGCAGGGGGTGGGGTAGGCTTCCCTGAAGAGATGGGTTTTCAGGGTGCGCCTAAAGGAGAGTAGAGTAGGTGATAATCTGATGGGTTGGGGCAGGGAGTTCCAGAGGATGGGTGACACCCTGGAGAAGTCCTGGAGGCGGGCATGGGAGGAGGAGACCAGGGAACTAGAGAGAAGGAGGTCTTGTGAGGAGCGGAGTGTGCGTGCTGGGCGGTACTTGGATATTAGGTCAGTGATGTAGTTCGGGGCAGTATGGTGGACAGCTTTGTACGTCAGTGTTAGGATTTTGAATTTGATCCGTTGCGCAATCGGAAGCCAGTGGAGGGATTGGCAGAGGGGGGTGGCGGAGACAGAGCGGTTGGAAAGGTGAATGAGTCTGGCAGCCGTATTTAGGATCGACTGAAGCAGGGATAGCCAGCGGCGAGGCAGGCCAGTGAGGAGGGAGTGTCAGTAGTCGAGTCGGATATGATGAGGGAGTGGATGAGCTGTTTAGTGGTTTCTGGGGTTAGGAACATGCGTATTTTGGCGATGTTGCGGAGGTGGAGTCTGCATGAGTTTGTTAAAGATTGGACTTGGGGTTGAAAGGATAGGTTGGAGTCCAGAATTACACCAAGTACTCTGGCCTGCAGGGCAGGTTTGATGGTAGCGTTGTTGGATGTGACGGAGAAGTCAATGGGGGGTGGTGTCCGGGCTGGGGGGAAGACAAGAAACTCAGTTTTGGAGAGGTTCAATTTAAGGAAGTGGAGTGACATCCAGTCTGATATGTCGCTCAGTAGGTGTGTGATTCGGGCTGAGACCAAGGGGGTGAGGTGGGGGGTTGAGAGATAGATTTGTGTGTCGTCGGCATAGAGGTGGTAGTTGAAGCCGTGAGAGTGTATGAGTTGGCCAAGGGAGGAGGTATAGATGGAGAAGAGAAGGGGCCCGAGGACAGAGCCTTGAGGGACCCCAACAGAGAGGGGGAGTGAGGGGGAGGTGGTAGCATTATAGGTAACGCTGAAGGAGCGTTGTGACAGGTAGGATGAGAGCCAGGAGAGAGCAGAATCTCTGAGGCTGAGGGAGTGTAGTTTTTTGAGGAGGAGGGGGTGGTCGACTGTGTCGAAGGCCGCAGAGAGGTCAAGGAGTAGGAGCACTGAATAGTGGCCATTAGCTTTGGCGGTTAGCAGGTCGTTGGAGAGTTTGAGTAAGGCAGTTTCGGTGGAGTGTAGGGGACGGAAGCCGGACTGTAGGGGATCGAGGAGGTTGTTGAGGTGAGAGCATAGGCGGGTGTAGACTAGGCGCTTGTGGAGTTTAGATGTAAATGGGAGCAGGGAGATGGGTCTGAGGTTGTTCGGGTCATTGGGGTCCAGGGAGGGCTTTTTAAGTATGGGGGTGATGTGTGCATGTTTCAGAGGGGAGGGGAATGTGCCGGAGGAGAGGGAGAGATTGAAGATGTGGGTGAAGGAGCGTAGGATGGAGGGGGAAGGAGGTCGTAGGAGTTGTGAGGGGATAGGGTCGAGGGGGCAGGTGGTGAGCAGGGCATCAGAGAGGATCTTGGAGACTTCCTCGATGGTAGTAAGGTCAAAGGTGCGGAGTGTTGGGGGAGCTTCAGTATGAAGAATGTATGGTGGGGTGGGAGAGGAGGTCAGAGCAGTGGTAGGGCCGTGGGAGAGGGGTGATGAGGGGGTAGCTGAGTGAGGGTGAAGGGGGTTGGAGAGAGTTTGAGAAGCGACGAAGTCCCTGCGGGTTATGTCGAGGGGGGATGAGGGGGTAGCTGTGTGAGAGGGGACGGGTTGAGAGGGCGTGTGAGTTGCGGCAATGTCCTTGCGAATTGTGTCAATCTTGTTTTTGAAGTGACTGGCAATCTCAAGGGCAGTGAGTGAGGTGCTGGGTGGAGGTGGGGGGGTGGAGAGAGTAGAGAGTTGAAGGCGGAGAAGAGTCGGCGAGGATTGGAGGAGAGGGCCTTGATGAGGGTCAAGAAGTAGGCCTGTTTGGCAGCATGGAGGGAGGGGGTGTAGGTGTGGAAGGCAGATTTGTAGCGGGTGAAGGCTTGTTGGGATTTGGTTTTGCTCCATAGTCGCTCCAGGGCACGACTGTGTCGTTTGAGGGTTTTGGTGTGATCAGTCTGCCAGGGCTGGAGCGGTCGGGGTCTGATGTTGCGTCATAAATATTTCTATTAACTTGCTTTGTGCTTCCAAGCATTCTAGAGATTTGACAATACAGAAAGTGTAAATTCCCTAACATAGCCCTTGTATGCCATAGCTTTCTTCTTCTAGGAGTGTCTGTGCTGGCCCAGCTCCTTCATGCCTCTCCCACCTCCCTCCATAACCTTTAATATAGCAGCTGGGAAGGGACTTCACCTAAGTGCTACTGTTGATACATCATCTGCTACATCGTTGCTAGTGCTGTCAACCTTTGTTTCTTGGCATTGTTCCTGTGATCATGAATCAGGACGGCACCGACATGTAGGTGGAGGGGCTATAGATCTTCAGCACTCACCTGGAACGGTCTGTTTGTCTTTCTAACATCATACCCAAAATGGCAATGTATACTGTGTATGTGTGTGTATGTGTGTATGTATATATATATATATATATATATATATATATTCAGACGTTTTCACAGGTAAGTCCCATGCCTGAAATATTACATGGTGTTAAATGTCCATACTGTATAATTTTATGGGAAGATTGTTGAAATGGGATATTCTGGTGACAGGGTCTTCTTTAAAGTTTAGATATCTATCCAACTGATGCATATTCAATAAATGTGTGTCATGCACTCTAAATCCAGACACCTCAAAACATCTGCTATTGCCTTTATTCAACAGAAAAGCTCCTTGCCGTGCCCCTCTCTATTATAAATTTAAGCCACTCATGGTTGACTGTTCATCGGGGACCTGCCGAATTTCGATCCATCTATGGGTAGGCTGATTGTACTGAAGCCGATCTATCCATAAACTTCTGTACAGCCAGCCTTTTTATCATTTGATCATTGTATTCTGATGGCTGGGAAACCTCCTGTTGTCTAAATACAATAGCACGGCCGGAGGGATTCCCCCATCAACATTGACTGTGTTGATGGGGGAATCAAACAATTTTCAATCCTTCATCCCATGGTTGAAAGAAAAAAAAAAAAGAAGCCTAGTGTATAGCCTGCTTCAGGCAACTTGTGTTTTCAGAAGGATTGCTCAGTAATTGCAGCCTACATATTTCCTATCAAACAAAAACCTAAATACCTGTGCTAACGAGATAAATCATATACAATGAAAAAAAAAACTCATATATACAGTTAAACAAATATATGTTGCTGCTGTTCATAAAGTGAAAACACCTTAAATAATGAATAATCAATAATATAGCACAAACAAATTATTTTAAATGTGATAAAATCTAAAGTCCCAAACAAACAGTGCTTCAATGAAAAAAAATTATTTTGTGTCCAAACAAGAAGTGTTCTATAAGTGGCGTCACCTCACAGTGCTCCACAATCATCTTCTAATACACTCCACACTCACCAGATTTGATGAACATAGGTCTTTGATAATGCCCTGGAGGAGGGGCGAAACGCGTCAATGTAATTTCTGGTTTCTGCCCGACCTTTGTGACGTCACGTCCGGTGAGTGGAGCGCACACTGTGAGCGGTGCTCCAGAGCCATTTCCTTGCCTATTAACAGTATATTGATGTGGGGATCGTGGAATATTGTTCAGGTTAAAGCTTTACATTTTTTGCATACAAGTGAGTGCAATATATATCTGAATATTGCTTATTAAAGGGGTGTTAGAGTTACACTATATGTGTCCCTTTTGTTTCTTATACTTTTCCTGCATGCATGTAGACCATGTCTAAGTACTGAGGAAGTATATTAAATTCGGTGTGTGCCTATCTAATCCCCCAGTTTACATATATGCAGCTGTGCGGGCCGCGTTTTGCATGAGAGCCCATTCATTTGAATGGACTCCCGTGCCCGTGACATGCAGGGAAGAAGTCCCTGCACTTCTTTGGAAAACGCAGCCCGTACGGGAACCTCGGTTCCCAGTATGGTTGCGGTTTCCAGTGCGGGCGGTGTGCCATTAGAATTAATGGCACCCGCCTGTGGGTCCGCATTTCTCTGTGTGGGTGGTGCGGCTGCATGGATTTTTGTGCGGATCTGCAGTGGCACCACCTGCACAGATGTGAACCTAGGGTGAGTCCTAGTTATGCCCGAGAACACCCGATTTAAGCCTGTTTGACTCTTGAGCCATACAAGCTAGAAGTCCATCGAATCTGGTGAGTGTATTAGAAGGTGATCGTGGAACCCTGTGGGGTGTCTCCGCTTATAGAACACTTCTTGTTTGGACACAAAAGATATTTGTTTGATTGAAGCACTGGTTGCTTGGGACTTTGGATTTTGTCACATTTAAAATAATTTGTTTGCTCTGTATTATTGATTATACATATTTCCTGTGTCTAGGTTTTCTTCCAAGATAAATAACTTAATAAACATAGCTATAAATGTGTTTTTATCTTATTAAAATAATGTGTTTTGCATTTTTATTTTTAAAGAATATCACCAAAGAGACTTTTAATATCCTTCAGAACATGCAGAAAGCCATTGCCAATGTAGCTGAACTTTTCAAACAATATGAAGAAAAGTTGCACAAGGATCATTTTGCTCTGAGCAGCCCAGAAGAAGAAATCCAGGTCCTAGATTCCAAAGAAGAAGAGATAAATGCTGCCATAGCCGAAATTCAGAATATCGCTGATCAGCTGAAATCCATTTGTAGTACAGAAAATCAGAGAGGTTTGGATGATGTTTTAAAACAAATCAGCAACAAGAACCATGAATTAGCAGGAATACGGGAAAGAAAACAATCCATATTGGCCAGGTTGGTACTTGCATACTAAGCCACCTAAAATAAGATGCTGAAATAAATGTCATCCACTAGCTGAAAATGTTTACGTTAACTGTTTATATTTTATTGAAATAGTTAGGGGGGGGCACTGGGGAATTGCTGTAATGTAGATTTAAAAAAATAGCAGTTCTTTTTGCTTACCTCTTCTCTTCACCATAGTGCCAGCTGGTAGGAGTGAAAACCATTCAGCCTTCCTTAGTCCTCATGCACACGGGACGTTTTGATAACGCTGCTAACGTTAGCTGTGTAACTGGCGTTTTGCCGTGTTTAGCGGAGTTTTCCCATGTTTGCGGTTTTTAGCGTGTTTTCTTTTTACCCCTCAAAAATTTGGGGGGGGGGGGGGGGGGGGGGCAAAAAAACCTTCAAAAATGGCGGTTTGCTACGTTTTTCAGTGTTAGAGTGTTTTTTACAGCTAAAAAACTCCTCTAGAAATCCACTAGTCCTGGGGGTTTTTTCCAGCCAAAAAACGCCCCAGCCAAAAAAATGTTGATCATAGTCTGTGTGCACGGACACATAGGATAACCTGCTTGGGGGATTACTAGCTGTAGAAAAAAAACGCCAAAATCAGCCGCTGTAAAAATGTCAAGTGTACATGAGGACTTATTATCCAGCTTCCTGCGTTTCTAATCAGTGTAAAATTGGAAACAGGAAAAGCTGTGCCCTATTGGTTTTAAGTTGGTGATTTTTTAAAATATTTTCTTAGAAAAAAACTTACACAGTCTGAAATGTGTTATAAAGTACTTTTTTGATATATTGCCAAGTGTAAATCTGGCCACCTTCTTACAAATCTGAATGTGCAATTCACTTAAAGTGGACCTTTCATTAATTTTCAAAGTCTGCATAATGCCTTCCAAATGTGACAACATACAGCAACAGTACCAATTTCCAAAAATGTTTATCTCTAAAAGGAAGTTCCACAGCTCCAGTGACTTTGCCTAAGCTGAGATGATATAGTCAGTCTGCTTCAGGCAGAAGAAGGCAGGTGGCTATATACAGTTTGGATTTTGGCCAATTCCTGTTGAATCAGCCGACATTTGAGCTGTGGGGTGGCCCTGTCAGCACCCCTCTATTTGACAAGACAGCTGAATACAGTAGCAAGCGAATGGGATTCCTCTTCCCTGCTGTTTAGTGTAGATGGAGGAATCAAATAATTCTCTTGTTCAACCTGGGGGAGCTGATTGATAAATCTGATTATGTATGGTCAGCTTTGGTCTTCTCTCCTGCAGTGATCAGACTGCAAAATGTGTTATTGTGTATAAAGTCACAATAAGCTGTAGCAGGGTCTGATCTGTTTCCCATATTTGTAATCACATTCAAGATCTGCACAGACCCCAATATTTACTCAACTGTGTTATTTGTGGGTTAGCATCTCAGTCCAGCAAGTATATCCTGACCTGAATGAGGTCTGAACAAAATTATCCCCATCCTTTTGCAAAGTAAAGTAGATGAAAGCTTTGTCAGGAAGGGTAATAAATACCTTTTAGCAGTTAAGCTGACCATACTGTACAAAGTTCAGTTTTTTGTTTTTTTTTAACCAGTGCAGCGGGCTGAACGGGAAAAAAACAGACAGATTCCCCCATCCACATATTCGATGTGGAAGGGGAATCCTCCCCACCGTGTGGCTATATTCTGACAGAGGGACTCCCCTGCCATCAGAATGCACTGATCAACAGTGCAGATAATTGGTTGCAAGCGCTGATTAAATGGAAATTTTTCTAGCAAGTCCATTCATGAGTAGTCGATCGATAGATCAACTTTTCATAAACAGGAACAACCATAGATGGATTGAAATTTGTGTGGATGCGGGAATCCTCCCCACCATGTGGCTATATTCTGACAGAAGGACTCCCCTGCCATCAGAATGCACTGATCAACACAGCAGATGATTGGTTGCAAGCTCTGATCAAATGGGAAATTTTTCTAGCAGGGCCATTCATGAGTAGTCGATCGATAGATCAACTTTTCATGAGCAGGAACAGCCATAGATGCGTTTGAAATTTGGTTGGTTCCTGCTGAAATAGCCAAATATAGTTCCATGTACGGTCAGCTTTACACTGACACATTACTTAGCGTGCATTTCACATAAAAACATATATCTGAGGTTAGACACAGGTAGGATCTCTTCCTTTGTAGTTGGTGTTTTTGTGTAGGTACTATATAAACAACTATACTTTATGCAAAGTTGCTTGCTCATGGTATTAATTGTGTTAATTCTATAGCTATGAGGAGAAATATCAGTTATTCAAAAATAAGAAGCAGAAGATATTGGAAGGACTGGAGGAAATGGAAGTTGTTATTGGAGATTCCTTCCTTCAGAAGCCAACATCATATAAAGCAGCACTGGAACAATGGGAGAAAAGCAAGGTAGGGTTCATGAATTAAAGGCACTGTGCACGTTCAAATATTTTTGTTTTAACTAGATATTAGTGTAGTTATATTCCCTGTGTTTGTTTCCCTTACCTTGTACAACCCGATTCCAAAAAAGTTTGGACACTGTGTAAAATCTACATAAAAACCATATGCATTGACTTGCAAATCTCATAAACCCATATTTTACTCACCAAAAATAGATAACATATCAAATGTTTAACCACCTTCCGCCGGCCAGATAAGGTAATGATGGGAGGGTGGCGGTTCTTTCGTTCTGGGAGGACGTCATATGACGCTGCGGTCGGTGATGCGCTGTTTCCCTGGGACACAGCCGATCACTGTAAAGAGCTGATGACGTTGGCTCTGTCATGTGATCAACTGTGTCCAATCTGTGGCCTCCCCCCATGAGCTAATCTAAATTTATAGGAAGATGGTCAAATGAGCACTCTTCTCCGCCCCAATTAGGAACTGATAAGGATCACATGAATAGGGAGGGATGTTTCTCAAACACAGACCAGACACAGGCCACAGTCATAATAAGGGTGCAACAAGAGGTGAGAACTAATCAACATAGACAAAATATATATACACTATTTGTTCTGAAATTAACAGGAGTCTGTGTTGTTGCAGTTTAGAGTGGAGAGAGCAGTTAGCAGCATTCATTTCTTCCACTATGTACAGGTTGCATTCTGGAAACTGGTAGATTATTGTTCAGTATTAGGTTTTGTGTCCAGGGATACCAAGCACAGGGTATTTCGTATAGGACTGCCACCCTGGAGCTACCTGACTTCTATCTCCCTTTTTGTATGTGTTAGCTTAGTCATGTATGACCTTGATTTGTTCGGTATGATATTCACCATTCAAATATATACCCAATACGGTAGTAAAATAGGAAAAAAAAAAAAGTTTCTTGCTGCAAGGGTATGTCACAATATGCTAGTATGCACTGCATTCTAGCAAATTATGAAAGACTTGCCCTAACACAAACCCTCCAGCTGCGTGCTGTCACCACTGTCAGGGCATTCATATTCATCTCATCCTTCTGGGATCGTGGCCTGTGGCTGCTTGAATGGCCAAGCTGCCGATGACATCACTCCCACGCATGTGCATGGGAGTTTCGGCCACGGCACACAACTCTGAAGAAACAGCATGGGTATGCCGGTCCTTCGGAGCGCATGTGTCAGTGATGTCACCAGCTGCTGCTTCATTTTACCTACAGGTAAGCTTTATTAGAAGAGTTTAGTAGCACTTTAATATTAATGTGTCATGGCCCTGTTGGATTTTTTTGAATTGTGTGTGAATTTTGTTAACTTGTGAATTGGGTAGAGGTCTCAGAGAGGTCACCCACACCTGGCTGCTTTCTGGGTAGACATTTTATGGCTATGTGTTCCTAGTGCTTTAATTTCCCTACACATCATGTGTGACAGAACCAATGGATTTTCTCATTGTTTTAAGGTGGGTCAGAGGGAAGTGGTAATCTGTAGAGTTTTATTATGGTCCGTAGAAGCAGACATCCTGCCAGTACTCAATTAGAGGATTACAGCTCTGACCAAGGCCTGTGTACTGGCGTCTGCTGTCCCTAATTTGAGATAACAAGCTCTTTTGAATTGTGTTAAAAGTTAAGGCATATATTGCAGGAAGAGGGAGGGGGTAGGATTACTGGGCTCATGAAAAAAATTGCCTAAAGCCTGAACAAGATGGCTATCGCCTACAGCTCCCATGTGCCTAATGAGCACAAGCATTACACAGAGCTAGTTAGTGTTCAGAATAATATGTGATTGGAAATGATGGCACTCTTGATTTTTTTTTTTCATGCGTTTAAATGAGGTGTTATGTGTGTATTAACATGGTATTAATTGTTTCTGTTGCTTTTTAGAATATGATGACAAAACTTCAGTCCTACGAAGAACAACTGTTGGAACTCCAGTGGATATCCAGAGACCTGAGTGCAAGCAATGATGACCAGCTGCTTGATAAAATGACTTCCTCATTGTGGGATAGGTGGCTGTATTTATTGGGCATTGCTAGAGACCTGGAGCTCTATGGTGATGAACTGAAACAGGAGTGGAAATTCATCAGTGAGCTGGTAATTTACAATTTGAAATGTCACCAGTATTTAAAAATCTAGAGAGGGCCATAACTGTGTGATTAGGGTCCCACATATAAATTATGAAGAGGTCCTCTATCCCTCTCTAAGTTCTGTTTCAAAGGGAACTCAAATAGTAATAGCACAACACATAACTGCTTTCATAGCAATTGTATAGGCATTCCCAAATTATACTTTAGATGTATTTGCCACATGTTATTGAAACATGCTTACGTTTCTGTAAAGCCAGTTGAAGATCTGTTGTACTTCTGGGTCTCCTAGTCTGCTATGGCTATAGTTCACCCTTGCTTGTAAACCTTTACAATATGTACTAGGAGTACTTAAAGCAGAGCTCCAGGATCCCTCCAAAAATTACAAATACTGTAGCTGCTGACTTTTAAAATAAGGGCACTTTATCTGTCCAGGGATCCAGCAATGTCCTCACCTGAGCCGATTCTTTAGTCGGCTTTGTGTGCAGGTTGCAGGATTTTCAGTAAGGGAAATTGACAGTGAAGCCTTTCAGCTTCACAGCCAGTTTCATACTGCACATGCATGAAGCACGCTGCGCTGTGTGAATTGTTCTGCAGTCTTCTGGGATCTGTGAAGTGTCCCAGAAGGTTCTGGGGGTAGGAGGGAGGGCTGAACTTCCTGCTCAGATCACTGCAATGCATCAGACCGGAAGTGGGAGTGGGTACCTGTCAAAACTAGTTAGCTGCCTCCCCCATGCTGAACTTCCCTTTTGGGTAAAGTTCTGCTTTAATAACTCATGTTTCTGTATTTTTTGTTGACCTTCAGAAGTAGGTTTGCCAATTCAGGAGCTTTCTAAATGTTTCTATATAGTATGATGGATACAATTGGATGGAGATGTGGAAGGATGACTTGTATATGGTAGTAAATGAGAAAACCACCAGTACTTTTTACATTTATCTGACTTGGCCTTACCTAGCTCATACTTTAACTTGATTTGTTCAACTTTGTTTTTAATGCATGACCTAAATCTGTAATTGAAAATAAGCAGTCAAAAAGACAAACCTCATAAAATTCATTCACACTATTTTTCAGTTGGAACGGGAGGTGATATTTCTAGATAACTGCCAGGAAGAAATTTTGGACAGGCCTGATGTCAGGCAGAGAGCCTCTCATCTCCAGAATTCATTAGCTGAAATTGATCGCTTCGAGGAAAATATCCAGGCGCAGCAGCTGCACCTATCACTTCTGAAGCATCGGATCCAGAATATTTTGGGAATTCCAGAATCTGGTTCAGAGCTAGCTCCAGTTTTCCAGGAAATCCAAGCCATGCAATCGAAGTGTGAAGGGTAAGATTGCCTTATAGAATTGATAAACCTATAGATTGTCATTCATAAAGCTAAACCCAGTTTCTGTTGAGTGTTTGCCGCAAATACAGTATATTAGCTACTAAAGCTACAAAATGTCTGTTAAGTTTGCAAACAGATGAGATTTTCTTAAGCTATCAAAAGTTAAAATATGGCTTCCATGTTCCATATACAGATGATGCTTTAAAATACCATCCGAAATTCACTACATTGCCAAAAGTGTTGGGATGCCTGCCTTTACACACACATGAACTTTAATGGCATCTTTTCAACTCTTCTGGGAAGGCTGTCCACAAGGTTTAGGAGTGTGCCCATGGGAATGTTTGACCATTCTTCCAGAAGCGCATTCGTGAGGTCAGGCACAGATGTCAGACGAGAAGGCCTCGCTCTAATTCATCCCAAACATGTTCTATCAGTTTGAGGTCAGGACTCTGTGCAGGCCAGTCAAGTTCCTCCACCCCAAACTCACTCATCCATGTCTTTATGGACCTTGCTTTGTGCACAGGTGCGCAGTCTTGTTGGAACAGGAAGGGGCCATCCCCAAACTATTCCCACAAAGTTGGGAGCATGAAATTTTCCAAAATGTCTTGGTATGCTGACTCCTTTAGAGTTCCCTTCACTGGAACTAAGGGACCTAGCCCAACCCCTGAAAAACAACCCCACACCATAATCCCCCCTTCCACTAATCTTTTCGCTTGGCACAATGCAGTCAGGCAAGTACCCTTCTCCTGGCAATGGCCAAACCCAGACACGTCTATCGGATTTCCAGACAGAGAAGTGTGATTCGTCACTTCACAGAACACGTCTCTACTGCTCTAGAGTCCAATGGCAGAGTGCTTTACACCACTGCATCTGACGCTTTGCATTGCACTTGGTGATGTAAGGCTTGGATGCAGCTGCTTGGCCATGGAAACCCATTCCATTAAGTTCTCTATGCACTGTTGTGCTAATCTGAAGGCCACACAAAGTTTGGAGGTCTTTAGCTATTGACAGTTGGCGACTTCTGTGCACTGTGCTCTTTAGCATGCGCTGACCCCACTCTGTCATTTTACGTGGCCTACCACTTCGTGGCTGAGTTGCTGTTGTTCTCAGTTGCTTCCACTTTTTTAGTACTGTTTTAGTAGCACTAACAGTTGACCATGGAATATTTAGCAGCAAGAAAGTTTCACAGATGGACTTATTGCACAGGTGGCAACCTATCACGGTACCACGCTTTAAATCACTGAACTCCTGAGAGTGACCCATTCTTATACAAATGTGACTATAACAGGAAGACCCTCCTTTTCTGCATACAAGGAATAGGAAGTGGTTGCTAGAAGTAGTAAATGAGAAATCCATATGTGAAGTAAAATAAAAATGTCAGCCAATGAAACCCTGCATTAAAGTTTGTTAAAGATCCTTTGCAATGTATATCTAGCCTGTGCGTCAATGTACAGAATGGTACTTCAATCCCCTATTATATTATCATCATTGTCAAATAATACTTATAAATACTGTATTTAGGATTTTTATCTTGATCCTGCAAAGCAGTGTATGGTTTTCAGATCATCTTCAGTACCTAAAGCAGAACTCAGATCAGAGTGATCTTAACCTAGCTAGCTGCTCGTAACATGAGGCTGAAAATTTAACTCCAATAAAATATCAATATTCTAGAATAAGATTAAATACTTTTTTTTAATAATCAAAATAAAAAAAGTAAGTGGTTATTTCTCATTTTTGGATATTGGCTTGAACCATGTGAATCATTGCCTCTGGGCTAACTGAGGATCCAACACCCATAGTTTACAACACAGATGCAGTCTAATAGCCATATTTTCCCAGACTCCCTAAAGCTGTTTAAGGCGTGTTAATAATCATCAGTGCAGTGTGAGGAAACTACTTCTATGGAGCTGCACTTGCTGTATCATTGATACAGCAGACAGGTTATAGGGAGATAGACTTAAAAATTTAACCAACATGCCCTTCTTTGCTCTAGACCTTTTTCCTGTGCATTAATTATTTGTTCCAAATGTCGAGTCAGATAAGAGCTTAATGCTCAGCATTTCCTCTCTCTATTATGTCATTGGTGATATTTCATCAGTTACCTGAAGGGATCCATTTATACAAAGCAATATTTTTGGCTATCTCATTTTTTCCAGCATTACCAGCAGGACTCTAAATTGTGCTCTTGACGTAATTGTACCAGACTCTTGTGCGGATTCACAGAAAAAAACATCCTGTTACTGTGCTGCCTTTTTTGATGGACCCAAAATGACCAATCCAAGCACATTATAACTAGAGCTAATGATAAGCACTTGATATGGTATAAAATGTATTAGCCGAGAGTAAGATGTTTAAGAGAGAAAAAATAGAGAGATTGAGGCAGTGAGTATATCTGTTATGAAGAATGAAGCTAATTACTGTATTTAAAACTGCCAGACCTCATAGGTACATCATTATTTTAGAAAATGTACAGCCCCTTTTATAAATGAAATGTACTTTTTTAATTATTTCATGCCTATAATGAACAAGGACAGATGCATGCATTGGCATCTTTGTTTCTGCGTGTGGCCAGTTCTCCTGATCCCCCATCCTTGTATCATGCTTTACTGGGTCTGAACCATTCAAAAAAACTTTACTGTGCCAATACCACAAAAAAAGCCTGGTGGGACATGTCAAGGTATTCAGGCATATTGTGACATTGGTGCAGTAAAGGCTTCTTTCTGGCGACTTGACCATACAGCTCATTTTTGTTCTAGTATTATCGTATTGTGCTCCCTAACAATAACCACGCCATCTTTTTCCAGAGCAGCCTGCCTTTCTCCTGAGGTTACCTGTGGGCAGGGGCAGACTGACAACTCATGGGGCCCCCGAGCAATAGGGGATCATGGGGCCCCTGGGCAATAGGGGATCATGGGGCCCCTGTGTCCTTGCCCACACTCAAAAAAGCCTATAAAAAAGGTACCAGGGGCATTTCATGGGCCCCCTACTGCCCCCGGGGCCTCGGGCAGTGCCCAAGTGCTCTAATGGTCAGTCCGCCCCTGCCTGTGGGGTTTTTGTTGGTATTTAAAAAGGAGCCAAACAACTATGTGATCATAATAAATGGCTTCAAATGGTCACTATTCTTAAGTAAAAGACAGTTTTTTGGCACTTATTTTCAATGTTGATGCCAAAATTTTGTGATTTCTGCCAGGGAATGCAAACCTTTGAGCACAACTGTACTTCTCCATGATGCCATACCATCAGAGAGGCGTATGATTGGCCCCAAATTTATTCTACAGCAAGACCACGACCCCAAACACAGCCAATATCATTAAAAACTATCTTTAACATAGAAAAAGGAGTCATCCTGGAAGTGATGGTTTGGCCCGACACAGAGCCTTGATCGGGACCCCCTTTTGACTTCAGAACTGCCTTAATTCTTCATGGCATAGATTCAACAAGGTGTTGGAAACATTCCTCAGATTTTGGTCCATATTGACATAATGCAGTTGCTGCAGATTTGTTGGCAGCACATCCATGATGCGATTCTCCCATTCCACCACATCCCAAAGGTGCTCTATTAGATTGAGATCTGGTGACTGTTGGGACCATTGGAGTACAGAGATCTATGATTTGAGCTTTGTGACATTGTGCATTATTCTGCTGGAAGTAGCCATCACAGGGTGGGTACACTATAGTCATAAAGGGATGGACATGGCCAAAAACAATACTCAGGTCGTGGTGTTTAAACCATCTGTATATCGCAGCTGAAATCGAGACTCATCAGACCAGGCAACGCTTTTCCACTCTTCAGTTGTCCAATTTTGGTGAGCCTGTGCAAATTGAAGCCTCCGTTTCCTGTTCTTAGCTGACAGGAGTGGCACCCAGAATGGTCTTCTGCCGCTATAGCCCATCTGCTTCAAAGTTTGATGTGTTGTGCACTCAGAGATGGTATTCTGTATACCTTGGTTGTAATGAGTGGTTATTGGAGTTACTGTTATGTATTATTTATTACAGGTACTTATATAGTGCTGTCGTTTTATGCAGCGTTTTACATATATATTGCACATTCAGATCAGTCCCTAACCCTCAAGGAGCGTACAATCTAAGGTCCCTAACTTACATTCATACCTACACATACTAGGGCAGCATGTCTTTGGAGTGTGGGAGGAAACTGGAGTACTCGGAGAAAACCCACGCAGGCACAGGGAGAACATGTAAATTCCAGGCAGGTGGTACCGTGGTTGGAATTTGAACCAGTGACCCTAGTACTGCCAGGCAGAAGTGCTAACCATTTATCCACTATACTGTCCATACTGTTGCCTTTCTATCATCTCAAACCAGTCTACCCATTCTCTGACCTCCACAAGGCATTTTTCGTCCGCACAACTGCCTCTCACTTTATATTTTCTCTTTTTTGGACCATTCTCTGTAAATCCTAGAGATGGTTATGCATGAAAATCCCAGTAGATCAGTGGTTTTTGAAATATTCAGACCAGCCCGTCTGGCACCAACAACCATGCCATGTTCAAAGTCCCCTTTCTTCCCCATTCTGATGCTCCGTTTAAACTTCAGCAAGTTGTCTTCACCACATCTACATGAGTTAATGAATATGCATGGCATTTCTGCCATGTAATTGGCTGATTAATAGTTTGTGTTACCAAGCAATTGAACAGGTGTATCTAATAAACAGGCTAGTGTGTATGTGTGTGTGTATATATATGTATGTGTACACACACCCCCACCCCCACACACACCCCATATATTCACTTTATGTATAGCTAAGTTACATTTACTGCATTGTAAGTTTCCTTTGGGTAATTATGTGAAGAGTGCACAGTATATACTCTTCACAGTCTGTCACCAAGTATATAAATATAATTGATAGCAGAACTCTGACAGATAATGGTAAGCTTTCAGTGTCTTGATTTTTTTTCAATTTAGCAAGATTTGCAATAGAAAATAGTTCTCTCCTTTTTCAATTACGTACACTACCATGCTCATTTTCTCCCCTTTTTTGTTATTTACATTCTTTGTATTGTATTTGCCATACAGACTTCTATATAAGGCTCAAGTAAATAAGCTGGAAATAGAGACAGAATTTCAACAAAGAGAAGCGTTGAAAGATGAAATCTCTGCAGTGAACAAATCTGTCCGGGATGTGTCCTCCAGCTTGGAGAATATGGAGATAACCGATGTTGCAGACACAAAATCATCATTAGAGGTTTGTTTGGCAACCTCTGTCAACTTCTCAGTATGCTTTAAGAAAATATCAAAAACCCCAAAACATAATATATTGCATCTTACCAGTCCTTAGATGGTGGTGGCTGTATTTTTTTTTTTTCAGGCTAAGAACATTTCAGCAAGCTTTTTTCCTTTAATTTTCACACAATTCCTGTCCAGGTGTGACGACGCTCACTCACCCTTCTCTATCAGGACAACAGAAGCAAGATAGGATTACAGAACCCAGCCCCTCTCCTACTATCCATAACATAGAGGCGATTGAGTCTGTAGTCCTCAGAGATACAACATAACACTTTCAAGTAATATATATTTAACATACCAAAAAGAGCTCAAGCTTTATTAGCTGCTGGTAGTAGATTAACAAAAGGGGACCTGAGCCAACGTGCATTGTGGTTTAGATTTACCTTTACATTCAGACTGTTGTGGGTACATCGTTGAGGGTGGTGTAGTGTGTTTAGTTTTCACTCTCCTCTGTGCCCATCTTTTTTTTCTTTCTTTTTTTTTTTTGCACTCAAAACATCTGAAACACTTCTACAACTCACATCCGAAAGCGCAAAATATCTGCTTCAGGCGAGTGCCGAATCTGCATAACCCCTCCACAGACACGCAGGTGCTGGCCCGATCCGTGATCACAGGTGCAATGGAAAAACAGAATGGTTGGCCGCACAAACAGCAATTTGGTGGATGAAATCCTGTATTTGAATCCTTTATATGTAATATGCAGTAGTACTGCTCCTCTGTGCTGTCTTGGAGCTGTCATGTTCTTATCATATTGCATGTAAAGGATTCCAATAAAGGATTTCATCCATCACATTGCTGTTTGTGTGGCCAACCATTCTGATTTTCCTTTAGAACTCACAGCTGTCCAATTATTCTCTCTTCTACATGGTGTTTGCTTTGTGGGAGCATGTGACAATGTTTCTCCAGCCCACACCTCAACTACTCAAGTAAAGCTGGTCATAAACACATAGTTCTTGTCTTTTTCTTTTTTTCCAGGCAGCAGGATGAACAAAAAAACAAGGTGGATGTAGGAATCTTACCCCTGAGACATTGTAATCTGACAGCGGGACTCGCCACCGCTCTATAGTCATGCATGTGGGCATTTACAGTAGTAGTAAATGACAGCCAATTCCCTCCCTCCCTCCTCCATGCCCACTAACCAGATGCACACAATTAGGGTGGGAAATTACATCCTGCTTGATGGAGGCATCACCCCCTTTTATTCTAAGACACAGGCTGGAGGGGCGTGACACTGCCTGTGATTGGCAGAAATCTTACCACACCTTGTTGTTGCCTAAAAAATGAAGATCTAATTTTAAATATATATTTGTATGAAATTTTAAAACCGGTTATTGATATTTATTTTTACTCTGTACCCCAAAGGCTGTTTTTTAATTTTTATTTTGAACATGTGACTAGTAGCAGAGGACTAGAAGCTCCTCCTGCCACTGTTTCCCTGCTGAGAGGTTGGGAAAGAGCTGGGCTATGTGACAGCTGTATATTGATTAGGGGAAATTAGTTTTATCATCCTACATAAAAAAAGAGAAGGGAAGATGTAAATTAAACAGTGTGTGTTTAGTATGACTTTAAGTCCCTGGTCACACTGGTTGTGACTTGGCATGCAATTTGCATGCGAAACAACTTGCAAATCGCATGGTAAGTCGCACCCTATTGTCTGCAATTACAGAGGTCATATTGGTGTGGTTCCGACTTGGTCTGAGCTGCACCGATATCTAAAGTAATACATGCACTACTTTTGGTGCAATTTGCATAGATATGTGTCAGATGTCTTGCAGATTGCGCCTCAAATCGGCATCTCACCTGACTTTGAAATCGTGCGACTTCACTGTAAGTCTCACGATTTCAAAGATGGGATCAGTGTGACTTGGGTGTAAGGCTCCATTTGCGTGAGCATTTGTCCATGGTGCAAATCCCAGCAGCAGGAGTCTACTGATGAGTTTGACAGCTGCATATGGATAGCAGTGACTGTGGAGCCTGTACACATCAATGACAGGTTGCCCACGGCTGCAGCTATTCATGTGTACTTAAGAAAAACAGAAATAAGTGAGCGCTTGAAATAGATATAATGAACAGCGGCTGTACACCAAAAAGCACCGTATCAAACCTTCAAGGACATGAATATAAAAAAGGGGGGGGTGCAGCGCTACATAACTTAGCAAAATGATAAGTCAAACACAGATAATAAACAATAAAACAGTGACTATGTGTTAATAAGGCCACTGAATGGTGGCTATGAAGTGAGGGAAGTGAAACAGTCCAATGGAGGAGTGCTCTTAAGATCCAGGATGATCCTCAGACGTCCAGTATTAGGAACCGTCAGGTGATAAAAAATGTAAAGACTGCGCACTCACCAGATACGCAATCTTTATGCGCATTTGTGTGAAATATCACCGGACCTCCTGTGTCATCATCCTGGTCTGGTCAGATCTGGTCAGCATATCCTTGCCCTTGCCGCGTTTCGAGCGAAGGCTCGTACTCATAGGGGTAAGCTGCACCCCTATGAGTACGAGCCTTCGCTCGAAACGCGTCAGAGAGAGCTACAGCAGGTTGGACGCCTCACCGCCGGCACCACGAGGGGCCCCGGCGGCCATCTTTGATTTGTATCTGGGTCAGTAATACTTTGCATGTTGGTTTTCCTGCTATCCTTTGCCTACAATAAAGATACCTGAGGATATCACACTATGTGGCCTTTTCTATTTATTTGAGTTCTGGTGGGAGCCAGCCAGATCCATGAAATAGCTGCATCTATCCAGGTACCAGGCAAGGGAGGATATGCTGACCAGATCTGACCAGACCAGGATGATGACACAGGAGGTCCGGTGATATTTCACACAAATGTGCATAAAGATTGCGTATGTGGTGAATGCGCAGTCTTTACATTTTTTATCACCTGACGGTTCCTAATACTGGACGTCTGAGGATCATCCTGGATCTTAAGAGCACTCCTCCATTGGACTGTTTCACTTCCCTCACTTCATAGCCACCATTCAGTGGCCTTATTAACACATAGTCACTGTTTTATTTGTTTATTATCTGTGTTTGACTTATCATTTTGCTAAGTTATGTAGCGCTGCACCCCCCCCTTTTTTATATTCATGTGTACTTGTACACAGCCAGCATTCACCCACGGTGATCGAGTCTGAATGCAGTTCAGGGTGAAATCACTGCAACAGTCAGGGTTTCTGAAAGGATTCCTAATTGAATTCCCTGCCTGTGTTTGGCAGCATAACAGGTGGTGGTAAGGTCCCTTTAGGACACCAGTTGAAGATTCAGTCTACCAGGATCTACCCAAAACTGAAATCCGAGTTTTAGGTGGAATGATCCTTTAACTGTGTGGGCTGTGCTCAGCCAGTATTGTCCCAAGCATTGGTGCTTTCTCAAGTGTTACCGCAGACATGAACAATTATGTTCACAAGGGAGTGTTATCAATACGCATTCCTTCTCATTCATTCGTAGTCATCTGGTACATTGGCCTAGAGCCAAACCTGTTCAAAGATACAAAACTCAGACAGACCAAAGATTCATATTCACTAAGGTCTGAAAAGCACCGGATGGCAAATGTACCGGTTTGTTTATATTTAAATAACGCCCGCTGTGGAATGGGACTTCTAGCCAGAGCACAGGCATTAGATTGTGTGCAGGGCTGACAGCAGAACACTTACTTAAGTCAGCTTTCAGCAGCGTTTATTCTTCTCGCTGAATGAAAAGCCGTACTGATCGCTCTAATTATGTGAAAGATGACACTGCAGTCTCTGAGCTGCCTGATGATTGGATCACCGTTGTGTTTCTTATTCTCTTTAAATGGTGCTTCAGCTCAGGTAAATGCAACAGTGAACTGTCTTACCCACACATTATTTTTTTTTTTTGTTAGGGGAGATTGAATTTTTTCCTATTGCTAGTGATCGGTCAAGGTTCAAAATAAGTCATGTGGGAAAAAGCTGAGGGTTTGGAACTAATTTCTGTAATGTGTTACCTTATTTCAGGAACTTCTCAGGTTGGTCAGTTCAGAAAAGGAAAAGGCCCACGTTATTATGGAGAAGCTGCAAGACCAATATGCAGAAATGGTTCCTGGAGAACTTCAGTCACACGCTAAAGAGTGCCAAGAGTTCCTCCATGAGACGGAAGAGAAGGTAGATTGTCTTACAACATGTGTGTGTATGTATGTGTGTGTGGGTAGATAGATATAGTTTGATGCATGTGTGTATATACATACACATACAGCGGGTAAAATAAGTATTGAACGAGGGTGGACATTTCAGCAAGACAATTATCCCAAACATAAAGCCAAGGAAGCTTTCAATTGGGTTCAATGAAAGAAAATGAAACTACTAGAATGACCCAGCCAATCATCTGATTTGAATCCAGTAGAAAATTGATGGAAAGAACTCAAGATTATAGTTCATAGAAAGAGGTCCACGGAACCATCCAGATTTTAAGACTGAGCAATGCATGCAACTAGTTTCTCCATACAGACGGTGTCTTGAAGCTGTCTTTCCCAACAAAGGATTTTGTATGAAGTATTAAATACATTTCAGTTAGTGTGTTCAATACTTTTTTTTCTGTGTCATTCCATTTTATTACACATAAGTTTATTTCTGAACTTATTTGTTTTGGTTTCTTTGTATGTATGGATTGCATGGGCTTTTACCGACATGGTGAAAATTTCATGTCAATAGCACCTTTAGAAATATATTTACTTAAAAAAAAATGGTAACGTGTTCCATAATCATTTTTCCCGCTGTGTATGTGTGTGTTTGTACGTGTGTGTGTGTGTGTGTGTGTGTGTGTGTGTGTATATATGTATATACAGTTGTGTCCAAAATTATTCAACCCCCACTGAAATTGAGTGTTTTGGCCAGTTTGACATTGCTTTTGATCATTCAGTCATCTTGCTTACATTTACATTAAAGAGGCACTTGTAGGTCAGACAAATATAACATAACAGTTATAATGAAATAACCACAAATGTCTTTTCTGTGCTCACAGCATTATCAGTTTTATTCAACCCCCAAGTGACATTCAATCTTAGTACTTAGTACAGCATCCTTTTACAGTTATAACAGCTTTTAAACGTGAAGCATAGCTTGACACAAGTGTCTTGCAGCGATCTACGGGTATCTTCGCCCATTCTTCATGGGCAAAGGCCTCCAGTTCAGTCACATTCTTAGGCTTGCGCACTGCAACTGCTTTCTTTAAGTCCCACCAGAGGTTCTCAATCGGATTTAAGTCTGGTGACTGCGATGGCCACTCCAAAATGTTCCAGCCTTTCCTCTGCAACCATGCTCTAGTGGACTTGGAGGTATGCTTGGGATCATTGTCCTGTTGAAAGGTCCAACGTCTCCCAAGCCTCAGGTGTGTGACGGACTGCATCACGTTTCCATCCAATATCTCCTGGTACTGAAGAGAATTCATGGTACCTTGCACACGCTGAAGCTTCCCTGTACCTGCAGAAGCAAAACAGCCCCAAAGCATGATTGACCCTCCACCATGCTTCACAGTAGGCAAGGTGTTCTTTTCATCATAGGCCTTGTTCTTCCTCCTCCAAACATAGCGTTGATCCATGGGCCCAAACAGTTCTAATTTTGTTTCATCAGTCCACAGAACACTATCCCACAACTTTTGTGGTTTGTCCACATGGCTTTTGGCATACTGCAGTCGACTCTTCTTATTCTTTGGAGACAGCAAGGGGGTACGCCTGGGAGTTCTGGCACGGAGGCCTTCATTACGCAGTGTGCGTCTTATTGTCTGGGCTGAAACTTCTGTACCCACATCTGACAAATCTTTTCTCAGTTCCTCAGCAGTCACACGGGGACTTCTCTCCACTCTACGCTTCAGGTAGCGCACAGCAGTCGAAGTCAGCATCTTCTTTCTGCCACGACCAGGTAGCGTTTCAACAGTGCCCTTTGCCTTGAATTTGCGAATGATGCTTCCTAAGGTGTCTCTTGGTATGTTTAACATCTTTGCAATCTTCTTATAGCCATTGCCCTTCCTGTGAAGAGAAATCACCTCTTCTCTTGTCTTCCTGGACCATTCTCTTGCCTTCACCATGTTTGTAACCACACCAGTAAATGTCTAGAAGGAGCTGAGTATCACAGTCATTTTAAAGCTGCCTAATTGGTGCTTATTATGCTTGATTGCTGCTCGGTGACATCCACAGGTGTTTTCAATACCTGATGGAAAGCACCTGTATGAACCTCTGTTCTTCAGAGTGGTAGTCTTTAAGGGGTTGAATAATTGTGGCAATGAAGAAACCACATAAGAACCATTTACTACTGTATTACATAAACAATTGATGTCATTTTAGTTGCATTTGGGTAGTTACAACGTCCTTGTAGGATTTGATTCTGAATACAATTCCAAATGTACACTATAGTCCCTAAACCCCTTTACAGCATTGGGGGTTGAATAATTTTGGACACAACTGTATGTGTGTGTGTGTGTGTATATATATGTATATATGTGTGTGTGTGTACACACATATATATATATATGTGTGTGTGTGTATGTATAGATATATATAGAGAGAGAGAGAGAGATGTATATGTGTGTATGTATGTATGTATATATATATGTATATGTGTGTGTATATGTATATATATATATATATATATATATATATAATGTGTGTAGAAGGTGCTGCTTTTTTCTAAAAATATATTTTTTTTTTTCTTGTTCGAAGTTATCAGCGTAAAGTCTTGTGCAAATAAAAAAGCTATTGTGATTTCTTTCCATTTCTGTCATCCTGGAAAAAAAACATATATAGGACATCTCTGCAATAGAGTTTATTCTGTATTTTAAACATTGCTGAAAGTACAGAAAATACCTGTTGATCTACCAGAACTCTAGTATACTCCTGTCTTGCTGTAGCGAGCTGACAATGCCTCCTCTGCTGTACTGAAATCTCAAATGACTTTTGTCAGAGATGTCTGATTCGTCATCGCCATAATATAAAGGGGGGAATTTCTATAGTCCAACAGGTGAAACGGAAGGTCTGGAAATACTGTTTGGGATTTTAATGCAGCAGAAGCACGGTTTTGTCAGATGAAACAGGAAGTTAGCCGCTTCTGGATTTCTGGCAGGATCAACAGTGAGGTGTTCGTAGAGTGACAGAACATGGGCAAATGTGCATGTGTTGAAAGAACTTAAAGGGTTAGTTCATTTTTACACAAAAAAACACTGCCTCGCAGGTAGATAAAACAAAATGTGCAGCTTTGACCAAAGTTAAATCATTTGCTATAGGTGTAGGCCATTTACTTACCTCTTAAAACCAGTCCAAAAAAACTTCCAAAGGTGGTATTATCCTGTCCCTCCTTGTTGCTAAGATGTTGCTAAGACACTTCCAGTCATTACTCACCCCCATGATCACAAGAGCAACATTCTTCAACAAGGCAGGATGGGATGATGCCATCTCTGGGAGTTTTCAGCCTGGCTTCAGGAGGTATGGAAATGGGCATTGTTTAACTTTGGTCAAAGCTGCACAGTTTGTTTTATCCACTGGCACCCCTTGCATAGCCAGTTTTTTGTAAGGGTGAACTAAGCATTAACGTGAAGATCTGGCAGAAGGGAGGACACGTGGGTAGAAAACTTTTCGGAACAGGCTGGGGTGGAGGAGAGGGAAGTAGTCAGGTAAAGAATTACTGTACTAAAAGCACAGTTGTCTTTAAAAGAAGAACTCAAGTTAAAAGAGAGCATGCATTTATAATCAATGGTTTGTAACCTGTGTCTACATATTCACTTTGGGCGCACTCTTTGGAGAATTGTTCCTGTCCCACATCTGTTATTGGCCTACCATAGTCTCAAAGGATGACTTGTAGAAACATGGTTTGTGTACAGACTGTGGTAATGCTACCCACAATACTGTGGAATAATTTGTGGTAAAAAGGGCTTTGTTCTCTCCTTGTGACTTTAGTGTCGTTAGTCTGGCGTTGACAATTTGAAAAAAAAAAAAAACTATTTGGAGTCATGCTTGAGATTACCAGGGGTGTCCCAGCGCTGTTAGAGAGTTCTATTAAGTGCCTCAGTCAATTTACTGAAAATCTTCCTGCAGAAGGTACAAAGGTACCATATGTGCACCACCAGCAAATAAATGTATTGGTGATCCCATCTCTGGTTTAAGATGTGAAAGATTGAGCAGATCTACAGTATCCCTGCCAGTCACTCTCAGGATCAAAAGTGTTGGTCTATGGGCTGACGTAATCTGACTTGTTTGTCCACCACTGACCACCAAATATGCACAATAAACTATCTGAACTCTCTGTTTTGTATGTTTTCATTTTAGGTCAGAAATGAGATTGAGCAGTGCTCTCCACAAACTATTATGGCCAAAAGAGTGAATGAAATTACAGCCGGGCTTAAAAACATTGAGACTCAGTTAACCGTAAAAAACTGAAAATATCTTCCAGGCTAAAGAACTTCAGAAGGTAAGACATGATCCATCTGTCACTGGCTTCCTGCACCACAGCAGTATACTTGTATCTTCAAAAAAAAAGTTTAATATGCTTTGTGCCAGTTGGGCAGGGTAGCCCCTCACCTTGGTGGTGTATGAATGTGAGCTCAGCATGCAATGCCCAGAAATATATGTATACCTTGTTAAGAGGTTGTTAATGTCCAAGGAAGAGCCACCAAAGATAAGGCATGTTCAAAGGGCCAAAGCGTTAACATGAAGAGATGATCTAATGTTTTATGCCTCCCCTTTTGCAGAACGTCTGGGATGAAGTGGATAGTTGGCACTCAAAGCTGCATGCACTGGAGTCAGAAGTTCAGGACATGGCAGAAGAGGACCCTAACCTTGCTCAGGAGTGGATGGATAAACTGACTGAACCATTCAACTATTACCAGCAAGTCACCTGCCTTGCTGAACGTAGAACTGCTGACCTGAACAAGGTGAGTGATATGGCTGTGCTGTATTTGTATTGCTCTTCTAAGACCAGCATTATTGTTATTTATAGTACAGATTTTACTAGAAAAATCCATTCTTAGTAGGATAAAATCTAGTTTGTCTAGTTATGTTGAAATTCAAATGTACCTGTCCCTTGCCTACCACAGTTGCAACCATTAGCTTTAAAACCTTGTGTATGTAAACCCAAACAATTAACTTTTCTTCTTAGTTTCATCGTGGACTATTAAATGTAGTTTGTTTTTTTGATAACTGCAAAAAACGTGTTGATTCTGCTAGAAATCCTTCTAGAAATTAACTGCTTTGTGTTCTCTGCCTCGGCTGCAGTCTTATTAGTTATGTTATTCCAAGTTGTCTTCGAGGACTACAGAACCCCTTCCCTCTGTTATAGAAAAGAGGAAAGAACATGGCCGCATCTAGATTGGTGCGGGGGGGGGGCTGTGCCCCCCCCCCAGTTTTTAGCTGGGACCCCCCTCAAAGCCAAACAGTGCCCCCTTTCACCCTGTGCCTGGCCATTGAGCCATACAGACAGCAACATTTTCTCTGTCCTTGCTTCTCTTAAGCTACTAAATATACTGCCAGGCTAAGTTGATGTTCCGGGTGGGGGGGGCTTTCTATAACACTTCCCTGCCATCCAATTAGGTGAGGTTGTCCATCGGGGATCTGTAATATCTCCCAAGGCAGCTGGAGTTGGTGGGCGAGGCCAGGGGTGTGGTGGCCTCCTTCACTCCTCCCACAGACTCCTGCACTCAGGCTGATTCCGCAGCTGAAGGAGAGAAAGGAGGAGTTGACACAGCAGCCCAGGGAGTCGTCTTCACCAGCAATGGGGTAAGTGACTGAGCCCACGGTCACTACAAACTGTCCTAACCCCCACCACTATACTGCCCTAACTTACCACTGTACTACTGTAACCCACCACTATACTGCCCTAACCTACTACTATACTGTCCTAACCCACCACTATACTGCCCTAACTTACCACTGTACTGCCTTAACCCACCACTATACTGCCTTAACTTACCACTGTACTACCCTAATCCACTCCACTCCACTACTATACTGCCCTAACTTACTACTATACTACCATAACCCACCACTATACTGCCCTTACCACTGTACTACCGTAACCCACTACTATACTGCCCTTACCACTGTACTACCGTAACCCACTACTATACTGCCCTAACGTACCACTGTACTACCCTAACCCACCACTGTACTACCCTAACCCGCCACTATACTGCCCTTACCACTGTACTACCCTAACCCACCACTATACTGCCCTAACTTACCACTGTACTACCATAACCCACCACTATACTGCCCTTACCACTGTACTACCCTAACCCTTACCACTATACTGCCCTAATTACCACTGTACTACCCTAACACACCACTATACTGCCCTAACCACCACTGTACTACCCTAACACACCACTATACTGCCCTAACCTACTACTATACTGCCCTAACTTACCACTGTACTACCCTAACCCACTACTATACTGCCCTAACCCTGCCACTATACTGCCCTAACCCGCCACCTGCCCGTAACTACTCTGCCGTGCCAGGGGTGACCCCCTGCCCTCTGCCCTGCCAGAGGTGACCCCTGCCTTGCCAACAGTGACCCCCTGTCTTCCTCTCTGCTAACCCTTTTTCTCTATCCTGCTGGAACCTATCCTCAGCTCTGCTGACCAATATCCTCAGCTCTGCTAACTCCTGTACACTGCTCTGCTGACCCCTGTCCTCCACCCTGTGGACCCCTGAACACAGCCCTATAAACTAATAGCCCCTGTACACTGCCTTACAAAGTGCTTACCCTATTATTTGCCTTGCTGACCCCCCTCTGCCCTTCCCTGTGGACCTCCCATCCTCTGCTTCCCTGACATTTGTAGTCCTGCCCTATAGTGACAACATTGCTTCTCTATAGATGCTGTATGGTGAGTGAGCTTTGTCACCCCAGGACAGAACGTTTGTTAATGACAGAATCACCAGGTGGAAAATAAGGGAAAATGGTGAAATAAGAAAACAAATGCAGACACCACCAACGACTGCTACGCTGCAATATATTATATTTTTGGTTTTGAGCTTAGATGCACTATGAGTGTAGACTTTTACCACTCTAAAAAAAAAAGATGGTTCCTGTTCTGAAACCATCCTTGCCAAGTCTCGGAAAACTGCACCCATCACCTCTCTTAGTATCAGTAGGAAATGTATTTTTTCCCATTGTAAACATTGTTTAGGAAGGACCAGGTCAGTTAACTAAAATAGAGCAAGATCTGTTGCCTGTGATCAGAATGGGCTGTTATGTCATTTTTTCAGTTGTAGTATCACAGAAAGTGAAATCCAAAGTTGCAGCTCCTAGTTGAGGCAGAACAATGTGTCAGCTGGCAGTGGGATAACATTTCAAGTGAGGTTCCACACATAGATTGTAGTTAAAGTGTATGTCTGGGTGCCATAAAAGAAATCCTGTATTGCAAAATAAATACAATGCATGAACATTTACTGATGATTTAAAAATGCCTCAAATTCAGAAAAAAAATGTCTGGTGATCCTGCCAGAAATGCAGTGAGCTCCAAACCTACTACAGTGATCTGGTAACACTGCTACTGCTGCACAGGAAGCACTGTTATTAGGCTTCCTTGAGTTCTCCTGTGCATAACTACAGTACACCACCCTTTATGTTATGAAGATGAGGAAAGGGAAAGGTGTTCAGTAGTCCGGTGCATTTGTAGGAAGTAGAAATGTGCATGTCTTGCAAAGATCTGTTGAATGTGCTTGTTTTAAATAATGCCATCATAAATTATCCCGAGAGTGCTAGTTCACCATGGCATTGCTGTCGCACACCCGGCTACCCCACTCCCTTTTGTCAATAATCTGATGATCCAATAACCACTGGCTTTCATGCAGAAGAGCCATTACCAACCACACCCACTGCAAACTTACTTTGTTTTGCATGTAAAAAAACCTGTATGTAAAATAAAAATGGTAATGGGAAGTCCGTCACAGCCACCTATAAGATTTAGGCCTGCTTTAGGAATTGGAATGTGATTGGGAACACAGACTTTAGGAAAAACACTCCCAGTGACCCTTAGAGGTGTTTTTACAGGAAAGGTAAGTATAGAGCCTTTTCTTTTTGCAGGTATTTCTATTTGTTTTGCCTCTGTAAAGACAGGGTCACTTTAAGAAAAATTCAGCAAATGTTTGAATTTTAGCACAGCTGCATTGTTTGCTCTTTAGCATAATTAGTTCACGAATTGGTTTCACATGTTGTCTCAAATTGCTCTTTAACCTCAACCAACCCTCACCCCCAGCTCTAACATTTAGTTGTCTATTTTAAAAGCAGCATTATGGCCTTACTGTGGCACTTCTGTCAGGTTGCATTAAGCAGGGAGAACTCCATGATGTACTGCAGGCTCCAATCCGCTGCGTTTTTTGAAATGGGCTGCAAAATGCAGGTAGAGATGTGTAGTAACATAGTGCTGTATGGCAGAGATCAAAAAGCAGTATCCCTTAACCATTATGTAAGAGATCCTTCGTCACTAACCATAACCATATAGATGACTTAGACAGGCCATAGATTTTTCCTGCAGCCAAAGAACTTCACTCGATTCCACCATCAACACAGTATTGATGGGGGAATCCCTCCCATAGAGCCATAGTGTTCTCTTAGCAGGGGGGTGCGGGGAGCCGTCCCTGCCAGTAGAATGTAATGATTATTGCTAGTGGTTATCGCTGCTGGCAATAATTGCATGCTAAAAATTTCAACCACCTGGTTGTGTCCATGTCAATCAATCTACTTGAATACAATTATCCAGCCGAGATTCGATTCATCTATAACCGGATTTAGTCTCAACTTGGATGTATGTTTGGTACTTTTTTTTTTTTTTCCTTCTTCATCAAAACATACCTATGGTGTATTATATCAAGGTCCAAAACTTGAGTGTCGGCAATCTGTAAATTGATTCTCAGATATGAGTGTTGAATTGTATTGACCTCAATGTAGTGTTGCATTAATGCTTAATTATCACCTAAAAGTTTGTATTCTTTTGGCAGGCGACTAGCAAGCTCGAAGAATATGAAGACACTTTGAAAAGTACAAAATTGTGGATCCAGAATACAGATGGCTTGATAAATGCAGAGTTGAAGGATTGTTCTGCCAGGGTCCTAAGTAAACACCTTAATGCTCTAGTGGTAAGAACAATATGCATGTTGCATATATCTCAGAAGTAAGGGATAGGATTTTCCCCATTCTGTTTATCACACCTGAACCTGCTCCTTTCTACAGCTGTACATTGGGAACATAGTAGACTTCTGGAATAGAAGTCCTGCTCTAGGAGGATGGACCCTAGAGGAAGAACAAAGCAGAAAGTCATTGTTCCTCCCCATGTGGGCTATATCCCTTTGTACAGGAAGGGAGAGCTTAGTTTTAGCTTAGTGTCCTTGAAGGTAGCATTTAATCTTGGTCAACTTTTCATTCTGATGCATTTCCAGGAATAGAATTGTTCACTGAAAATTCTGTGGTGGTGGTAAGGATAATTGCACCCCAAATGGGTGGGGGAAGCAGGGTTTCATCCCTTGTGTCCAATACCATTTGGGTTCTCATTAAATACCCTCCTCCTGCACCCACCCAAGTCCTTAATGTAGCTGTGATAGACTAAAGCAGGCCATACATGGGTCAAATTCTGAACGATTTTTGTAAAACATTGTTCGTTCTGTAATCTGATGGTGCCACCAATGATTTCGAAAATTGGTAGTTTTTCAAGAATTTTCCAGCATGCTCAATAAATGAAATGGGGAGGAACCACAATAATCGGCCGGTGCCATTGCCCCACTAACAGAGCAAAAATCAGCCGATTTATCCTTAGGTCTGATTTTCGAACGAAAAATCATTTGGAAATCGACCCATGTATGGCCGGCCTAAGAGTTAGCTCACCTTCTGTTACATCCTGGAGGATGGTTGACATCAGTCTTCATTTTTGGTGAGATACTCCCTAAGCCCTGGTTTACACATGGTGCAACTAGTCATGTGATTTAACAGTTTCACATCGCATGACAAGTCGCACCCATTTGTCGGCAATGGAACTATTCTTATTGGTATGACTCTGACTTTTTGCGGTGCAGCATCAATTTAAAAAAAAAAAGTTCCTGCACTATTTTTTGTGATTTCAGGTGTGACTTGGATAGACATCAGTGCATGAAGTCACGCAGATGTCATCCAAGAGGCACCTGAAATCGCACTGACATGCTGCTTTGAAATTGTGCAATTTCAAATGAAGTTGCACGATTTCAAAGTCAGAAACAGTGTGAACCAGGGCTAAGGGTAAACACTTCTAAAGTTTTGCAGACACTGCAAATTTTCTCATCAGAATAAAAAAATACGCCAACTGATTAGAATGAATTAGCCTCATTCAGAATCCGTATCCAAAAGACATAATGGGACAATCTGTTTTTTCTTCAGAGCAGAATCCTTGCAATGTAAATTGATCACCCAGAGGGGACTACTTTTTTTTGTAAAAGTACATTTACTCTTTAAGTTTAGGTTCACTATGGATCGCAAGTGAATCACATGCGATTCTGTGTGGTGCTGTTTGAGCCCATTTGATTTGAATTATACCCATGTGATCCGGTTGAGGCAAACACACTTTTGTGGCTTTTGGGGTGGTGTTAACTTTCAGTTGCCACCCACAGCTGATCACAGAACACAGTGCAATTGTGATGCAGTGTGGGAAACGCACAGGGATCGCTGCTTTTCTCATCCCGTATATTTGTGAATCAGAGCTAAAAAAAAAGGTATGAAGGATCCTGTATTGTTGCTTTTGCTGACCTGTTTCTGAAAATGCTAGTTGCCTTGGTTTTGTTTTGTAGCTCTAGTGCTTAACCAATTCAATACCGGGCAATTTTACATCTTCTTGCCCAGGCCAGTTTTCAGGTTTCAGCGCTCTCACACTTTGAATGACAATTGCGCGGTCATACAACATTGTACCCAAACTAAAATTTTATCATTTTCTTCACACAACTAGAGCTTTCTTTTGGTGGTATTTAATCATCGCTGGGGTTTTTATTTTTTGCTAAATTAACAAAAAAAAGACCAAAAATTTTGAAAAAAAAAACACTTTTTTTTTTGTTTCTGTTATAAAAGTTTGCAAATAAATAATTGTTCTTCATAAATTTAGGCCAAGATGTATTCTGCTACATGTTTTTGGTGAAAATAACCCATATTAGGTGTATTTTTTAGTTTGTAGGAAAGTTATAGAGTTCACAAACTATGGTATAGATCTGAATATTGATCAATCCTGAAGTACTGACAGCCAATCTAATTTCTTGAGGTCCAAGAATGTCAGAACAGTACAGATATCCCCCAAATGTCAGAACAGTACAGATATCCCCCAAATGATCCCTTTTTGCAAAGTAGACAGTCCGACGTACTTCATAAGAGGCATGGCGAGTTTTTTGAAGTTGTATTTTTTTGTCATTTTTCGGAAAATGAAAAAATGAAAACAATTAGTTTCACTATTTTATTTTATTTTTTTACATACTGTCACCAGTGCAGTACAGCGTCATCATATAACTGGCATGGCGGTGATCAGGGACACTGACTGGTGACAGTATGAAAAAAAAAATATATATATATATTTTTTTTTTTTTTATAAAAAAAATATTTTTTTTTTAGTTTTTTTCATATTTCACTATGACCAAAGTAGTACAATATTACCATAGTAACATTGTACTACTTTGGGGAAAGTGATCAGTTTTTTCTTTTTTTTTTTTTTTTTTTTACACAATTTGCTTATAGCAAACAATTACTTTGCTATAAGCTAGCATTTACCTGAATGACATTGATTCATTCAGGGTTTTTTTTTTGTTTTGTGCTTAGCTGTGATTTGGCCACAGCTAATCACATGACATGTGCATGTGATTAGCTGTGACCATTCACAGCTAGACACTAGTATACAATGGATGGCATGAATAAAGCCATCCATTGTATACAACTGTCATGTGACCTGCTGTGATTGGTCACAGCTAGTCACATGGTACTGGCAACGGGGGCCGATACTCAGATCTGTCATCGGCCGTGTCCGAGGTACACGGCCGGTGACAGATCGCGCCGCTGCACGGCTCTGCAGGAGCGCAATCGGCGCATGTGCTGGAGGACGCCAAATGGCATCCACCCGGATTGCTGATGACATTTGCCGGCCGCCATTCAGCCATAGGGCGGGCGGCAAATGGTTAAAGTACTAACAGACACAAAACTGGAGCAAGCATACAGATCAGAAAAGTCAAAGTGCATATTAGCTCAAGGTAATAGACTTAGAATGTATTAATGGATTAGCTTGGCTATCAAACTAGTATCATCAGAAGATGTCACCATTGGTCACCTCAATGCTTCCTCATTCTTTTCATCACTTTTGTCATCTAAGGCACCTTTCAAATCTAGCTTAGGGTCACGTGAAGATACTAACCTGCTATATGTTTCTTGTTCTCTTTGAACAGATTGCACTGGAGGATTCTGAGGGAAAACTCCTCCTCCTGGACATCATCAGCTCTGAGCTCGGGGAACTTTCTGTCATCTGCGAGACAGATAAGATTGTAGAAAGCCTCAGTGAAGTAAAAAACCAAGTGAAGGATATTCAGCAAAGAATTTACAATGTTCTCCCACAAATCCAACATTTGGCAAATGTAAGATTGTCACTCTTTTGTCATCCCTGAACATGTGCGGTTGTGTGTGTGTTTATTATCATTTCAGCCAATGCCACATAATGTGTTTGGCTGTATGGAAAAATAATGGAGATATATGTTGTGTCTCCTGGTTGAATTAGTCTTACCATTATTAGGTTTATAGCCACAATATAATTATACTTTCTCCAGTTTTGTTGTTGGAATCCACCATCCAGTAAGGGTTAAACCTAACTTAAGCGTTACCCATGAAAACATAACAAATGTACTGCTTCTTTGAGTAACACAGTACTTTAAGTGATGCGTACTACACCACTAGAGTTCAGAAAATATTTCAGTAAGTAATGAGTTCTAACAAGCTTCCTATGAACGTTAGTCAATAACTTGGCGGCTGCTGTTATAAGACATGTTGCTGGGAATGGTGAGACTTGGCAATGGCAGATTTCAGGGTAGGAAAGGTGACTATGTAGCTACAACTGCTATTCTAGGACCTACCATGTGTGGGTTCAAATATAATCTGGATGTAAAAATTGCCATGAAAATATTAATTTCTCCAATTTTAGGAGGTTGTTACTATTGAGAATGAAGTCAAAAAGATGGAAAAGAGACTGGGTTCAATTAGAACTATTTTGACATCAAGTGATATTGATGATATGTCACCTAAAGAGCACCACATGAATGGCCAGGTAAGTGCTTCTACTTGATGAAAAAAAAAAAACAGAGCACATTTGTCTGATGTAAAACAATTTAACCTTAAACTCCTTATCTCTTAAAGTGTATAATGTTATGCTTCATATTACCATTTCTCAACCTTTTAAAAGTGGAGGAACCCTTGAGTTAGTGTCTTGAAAAAGTATTCATACCCCTTGAAATTTTCTACATTTTGTCATGTTAAAATCAAAAACGTAAATTTATTTTTTTGAGATTTTATGTGATAGACTAACACAAAGTGGCACAGAATTGTGAAGTGGAAGGAAAAAGATAAATGGTTTTCAATATTTTTACAAATACTGTAAATATCTGAAAAGTGTGGCGTGCATTTGTATTCAGCCCCCGGAGTCAATACTTTGAAGAATCACCATTTGCTGCAATTAGAGCTGCAAGTCTTTTTGGGGATGTCTCAACCAGCTTTGCATATCTAGAGAGGGACATTTTCTTCTTTACAAAATAGCTCAAGCTCTGTCAGATTGGATGGAGAGTGTCTGTGAACAGCAGTTTTCAAGTCTTGCCACAGATTCTCAACTGGATTTAGGTCTGGACTTTGAATGGTCCATTCTAACACATGAATATACTTTGATCTAAACCACTCCATTGTAGCTTTGACTGTAAAATTTAGGATCATTGTCCTGCTGGAAGGTGAACCTCTGCCCCAGTCTCAAGTCTTTTGCAGACTCTAACAGGTTTTCTTCTTAGATTGCCCTGTATTTGACTCCATCCATCTTCCCATCAACTCTAACTAGCTTCCCTGTCCCTGCTGAAGAAATGCATCCCCACAACATGCTGCCACCACGTTTCACAGTGGGGATGCTGTGTTCAGGGTGATGTGCAGTGTTAGTTTTCCACCAAACATAGCGTATTGCTTTTAGGCCAAAAAGTTCAATTTTGGTCTCATCTGACCAGAGCACCTTCTTCCACATATTTGCTGTGTCTCCCACATGGCTTTTTGCAAACTGCAAATGGGACTTCTTATGGCTTTCTTTCAACAATGGCTTTCTTCTTGCCACTCTTCCATAAAGGCCAGATTTGTGGAGTGCATGACTAATAATTGTCCTGTGGACAGATTCTCCCACCTGAGCTGTGGATCTCTGCAGCTCCTCCAGAGTTACCATGGGCCTCTTGGCTGCTTGTCTAATTAATGCTGTCCTTGCCCAGCCTGTCAGTTTAGGTGGACAGCCATGTCTTGGTAGGTTTGCAGTTGTGCCATACTCTTTCCATTTTCAGATGATGGATTGAGAAGTGCTCTGTGAGATGTTCAAAGCTCGGGATATTTTTTTCTCTCACCTAACCCTGCTTGAAACCACCACATCTTTATCCCTGACCTGTCTGTGTTTAGCCACACGTCCTGTGGCTAAAAAAAAAAAAAAAAAAGCAGCTTGTAGACCAAGAATGAGGAACAGTACAGTAAACCACAAAGTCAGATCAGGAGAGAGGAATGGATTATATGCTAGGGACTACTGCACTCCGGTTTGCTAAGGAAAAAACAAAATATGAGTCTGTTAAAATGAGAAAACACGAAGAGGAGGTGTTATAAAGGATGATTCTACCCCTTATCTGCTCACACACACCCTAAATAAAATATCAGGCCATGCCCTGCCTTTGCCATGTTGCATCACGTTTCATAATTCTACACTCTTTATGTCAGGAAAAAGTCAATTCTGGTAACCAATTAATAGTTTCAAGAATGTTTTTTGCAAAAATGACAGTGAAAGTAATTTAGGATTAGGAAATAAACTTTCTAAAATGTAACACTATACCTTGATACAAGATATATACAAAATCAAGCAGAAAAAGTGCAGCTCTATGTTTTATATAAAACCAAAAGCATAAATACATAAGTGATCTTTTAAACAGATACAATAACTCACGTGATTAAAGAAAATGTATGTGAGTAGGTGTTCCAGAAAGTATGCAAATGATGTATGTAAACACATTACAGTGTACATAAAAGTCCATACAAACACAATTGGTAACAAGTATCCACGGAACCAGGCTTCTGTGCAGCTCTTAGATATTAACAGTGAACCACAGAAAACCAAGATGATGCACCAATCCAAACAAATAAGAGGCAGCTTACTCCAGGGACCGGGATCAGCTCAGTCCTTCCTCTCCAGATCTCCCAGGGTGGATAGGGATCCACTCAGGTAAAAGAAATCTCCATCATAAAACAATCGGTAACAAGTATCCATCTGACCAGATGTCTGTGCTCCTCTTAGATATTAGCAGTGATCCACAGCAAACCAAAGTGATGCACCAACCACACACACACAGTGTTCACCTGGTGCTAAAATTGGCATATCATAAAGTGTGCAAAAAGGCTGAGCCACATAGAATGGAAACACCCCTTTCTATTTTCACCACGGAACAATACCAGAAGGTAAGAGATGACAGATCAAGCAAGACTCAGAGACAAGATCAAGAATGTTGCATACCGGTAAAGTGAAGCGCTTGCACAGAGACACACAATGGTTCATTCTTTATCAACACTTAGATATGCCGATTTTAGCACCAGGTGACCTCTGTGAAGATCGCAGCATCAGACCCCAGCCCTTCTCACCAAACTCGTGACCGAAGGACTAGCCAATCTAAAACTGCACTGTCACGTGCGTAACAATGCCACGCCCAGCTGCACCCTACACAAAGATTTTCCAGCTAATGGTCCACAATCTGTGTGACCGGAGGCTTGAGAGCGATTGTTACTGGGTTAGGTTAATTACACAATTAAAAAAAGGGGGGTTTGTGAAAAGAGATTCACAGAAAAGCGGCTACATTATGAACAGACCGTGACACTCAGAAAATTTTCCAAAAATTATGCTTTATTACACAGATATAAAATATGACATATGGGCATTCGCCCTGGTTTACCATCACCTCAGTATGAGACAATAACACACAGACCTAAAACCATATAAAATGACATCAAGACCGGTCTAAATGTATGTGCAACAGAAAAAGTGACTGCAAGAGTCTACTATCTCTGTAGTACAAACACATAGGTAAACACTTCCCTAAAGAGGTGTATCCAAAAATTATACCATAGGTATACCATAATATTGAATAATGAATTTACACCAATGTCATAATGGTGAATCCCGAACAGGGAATCCAAAAATTAAACTATGGATATAGGTATATCACATGTATGAAATGCAGTAAGCACAATAAGCGTGAAGAGGGGAACAGTAAGCCTCAGGCCTGTTTGGAAAAAGACATAAATGTCAAATATATGATGCAATACATTCCTGTGCCGGCACACGTGGTTGGGGCCCGTTCATCTGTAATGTGAACAGCTGTGTCATAAAGCTCTTGAATGGAAATAAGCCCCATTTATTCCCAGGATGAGAAAAGGTGCAGATTGCAGCACTCTGCTTGAAATGGTGTCTTCACCACTGTATGTGGACTACACACCACCCTTTGTAGGAAAAACAAGACATATCCCAAGGAATCTTCTGCCTGTTGAACTATATGCGGTATGTCCTGTATCCTACACAAAGCACCATAATGTCCCCATCCTGTAGTAAAACAAATAATGTGGGAAGTCACTGACAGAGCTTGCACTCAATAAGATATGTAGGTCATATTGATCACAGAGGACCGTATATCTAATGTCCTGTAACAATCCACTCACCACCTGTGCCGTGGATAAAGGGAATGAAAGAGATGTCCTTCATGGATATTGCCAAACACGGCCACAGAGGCCCAGGAACCACCGCTGACATCCGCCGATATACCGCGGGTTCCAGCCCCCTCTCAGCGCCTGTGCTGCTCACGCTTGCCTCATGGCATGTGAAGATGGCTTCCTCCTTATGGGTCAGCGTGCGTTCCACCTAGTGCGCATGATGACCGGAAGTGACGTATCTGACGTATGACGTATCTGACGTAATAACTACCTATAGTATAATTACACAATTAACCCTTCACACTGCCACCACCGCCTTTTTGTGCAGAGAAAGAGGAAACCCCGCAATATCAGCAATAACACTCCGATGTTTGCCTAAGCGTCTCTATACCGCTGTCACCGCAGGCAGAGATATACAGAAGTTTAAAACACACACAGTAGCGCTCTTCAGAGGCAGGGATTCTTAGTTTGCATTAAAGTGCTTTAGAAACAGTTCAACACTTTCAGAAAGTAAGATTTATTACTAAAAGGTCAAAAGGGTGCAATAAAAATATTTACAGAAAAAGATGTAGCCTATGTGTATATATATATATATATATATATATATATATATATATATATATATATATATATATATATACAGAGAGCAATAACACAGCAGAGATAACAGAAAGAAGTTTAGAGAGATAAAGTACTTGCCATCAGCCTTGGTTTAGCAGATCAATTTCCTGAGCAAAAGGGCCTTTATCTCCAAAAGTTGGTTCCAATGTTAAAAGGGAGAATTCTTCAACTTAGCTCAACTCAGCTTTTCTTAGCTTAGCTCCAAGCATAACAGCTTTTCTAGGAACTCAGCAGGGTGTCTCCTTGAAGCAGAGAACCAATGGCCTCATTTGGGGAGGGTGTTGGGCGGGGACCCAAGCTGGAACCAAAATCCCTAGCAAGTTGATACCAGGGCAATACCTTTCTCTGGATACCTGGAACATTCTATCCACGAGTAGATTAATATGCAGAATCACCTGCCGAATGTCTAGGTATGAAATATGACATACCTGCTGGGACGGTTAAGGAGATATCATTTTCTGCTCTCCTGTATTCCAGCTCGGGGGTGTAATATATCAGACGACTTGTATTAAAGTAACCGGTCTGAATATATGCCTGGTTTTTATGTAAGTCTTCCATATCTCCAGATGTAAAATTATGAGTCCGTTTTACGACTACCTGGAATGTCTGAAGCTCAGTGAAGGACTGGTTTTATGGCTTTACGATATCCCAGATTGAGAAGCTAACAGACATCTGGGCACCAGCTAGGGTGGGATTTATAACCATGGAGCTCTCCCACTGGGGCCTGTTGCCTTTTGAACTCGGCATACACACACAGACCACATTCCTGAGGGAGGGGGGGGGAAATCGGAGGAGGGAGACTGATTTGGGAGTAGAAAATGATACAAGATGGAGGCCTTTGCCAAAATGGAGGTTTGCATCCATCTCTGTGTGCAAGATTGCTACAACCTCCACTCTGATCTATATAGTATTAGTCTACTGTTTATTACATCTTGGGTTTTGCTGTATCCCATCGTCCCTGGCTTTTTTGATTGTTGCAGGACCGTTGATTCCTTTGTTTTTACCTTTCTACATCAAGTTCCTTTGGCTGCAACACTATAAAAGATGAGAAACAAAGTGGATCCTGAGGGAGCTGGGTGAAACGCGTTTATCCACCTGCTCGTCTTTTTCATGCTTATTCAGTTGCGTCTATACCACATTTGTAGCTGATGACAAATATTTTTAAAAGATATTTATTTTAATTTGTCAAATAAAATTGTCAATTTGCCAACCTCCAAGATGGCCACTGAACGGTGTGCATATGCAGTGATGTTCCCTAGCTCCATCCAAGGTAAAAGCACTATGGGGCCAGCCCATACCCGATGCAGCCTCTTATTCCCTGCTTGGCTTTATTGGCACACAAAGTTTTTGGCATCTCCTGTTCTTAAAATTGCCCACCCCTACATACTTCCGTTACATTTCTACAGGCCAATGAGGTAACCCATCATAGTAATGGGCCAATAGGAATTTGAGAGAAGTGGGAGGTAGTGACAAGCTGGAACACTGTTCGGAAGTGTCAGTGCTATACTAGTTAGAATGGTCAAGGGTTTGCAGAAAGGACTCTGTAATGCCTAATGAAATGTGTTGGCCTTGGACCCTTTGTTTCTTGGGTAATTTGTACAATAAAGCATTGTCGCTCAAATGCCATGGGCATGAGAAGTGATGATGTCATTTCTTTAGCCAAAGGAACAGAGTCACAAGATATTCTGCTGAGAGCAAGATAAAACCTTGTTTATGGAATGAACCATGTTTATGACATCTAGTAACCTCACATTAGGAGATAAAAACCTGTTTAAGGAAATCTAAGTTAGAAATCTTTAAGTCTGGGGGAGATGAAGAGAGGTTTTGGGGTAGATAAGAAGCAAAAGTGTGACTTTTCAGATAACTAATATGGTGGTTGAACATGACTGTTATCCTCGCCGAACCCTTCTGCTAGCCCCTTCTGTAGTGGGTGTGGCGCCGCCCACTATTGGACTGTTTCCAGAAAAAGGGTTTATAAGGCGAAGGTGCAATTAAGAGCAGTAGAAGCTCCCCTAGTGGCCAGAGGACGCTCTGACGCTGGGATTTGTACCAAGGCTATATGGGCTCATCAACTGGTCGCGCCTACGGCTTCTCCTCCGTGACCCCCTGGGCAGTATGGTTCCGATAGGATTTGTTCCTCCCAACTTCCACATAGCTTTGGTAATGTATTAATTCTATGCTGTGACGCTGTCAAATGATGAGTTTATTTCATGCTGCAATGCTCACATTAATATTGGTGTGTTATTATGCAGATTGGGATGAATATAAGATATATCCTCCTGTAACAAATATAAGAAGTGCCACAGAAAATACAAGATAGATAAAATAATAAGCAGCACCTCTAACCAAAAAAGTTGAAATTGTGTATAAATAAAGAGTACGCTAATTATTCACAAAAAATACAAGGATAAATAACAGAAATAACAAATAAAGTCCTTAAATATAAACATAAGTCCAGCCACCATAAACAGTGATAATCCGATATCAACTTAATGTCAATCTTGAAACAAACACCCATGTGCAAATCCGACACAAGATGAAATGAATACACTCACCAGAGCTATATGCTGATTAAATTATAAACCAGCATAATAGCATTTTGCTCTGGGAGCGATAATCTGCAGGATATCCCAGTAGAGGAACAGCAACCAATAGTGATCCAATCAGCACATATGGAACAGCTAGGCAGCACATATAGAACAGCTAAGTAGCAAATGGTCTTCCAATAACATGGGCAAAGCTCGAGGAATCAGTAGAGATATGATGTACAGTACGTTTAAAACCAGTAAAGTTTTATTAGTAAAGTTATAACACTCACAAGGAAGGTGTCTAGCCGACACCAGCAATGACAGCCTTTATAATAACACATCCACGAGAGAAAAAAACCAAGGGACGAACCTCCTCCTGCACCGCGATCTCACAGCCGACAGCTGGGAGGAACATCCCGATGTCACGTCCACTAGGCCACAACCAACGCGTTTCGTCACCTGATATCCTCCTGTGTCTCGTGTGATAATAAAAGTGGAGGTTTTGCCAGTGCAAGAATATTGCAGTTGGATTCTGTTATTACTTGGAGTGCCAGGTGAATGCTATGATGTGCCAGGGCAGGTATTCATTGGGTAGTTGGTCTTTCACAATGCATAGAACATGTAATGGTTTAAATGCTGATTAAAAGTACCTGCACGACTGCATGTTGATTGTGTGCATGTATATGACTTGTTTTGCACCCAGCATCACTATTACAGACTCTCAGGGAGAAGCCTATTCCTGGCTTCGATCACCTCTGTAAGCATTGAAATATTTTTCATGTGATCTGTGTAATTGCAATGATTCAAGGCAATCACTCTTGTATGCATTTCATCTGTGTATTCAGCTTTTTGCCTGGAGGTCAGTTTTAACAGGTCTCGCTTCAGTTAGCAGTAATAGGATTCATTGGTATTGGTTACTGCACTTTTCATATAATTATCATACTCTCAGGCTGAGAGAAATGGAAAACCTGACACTTATGGCTTTCCTCAAGACTCTTTACTGTGGATTCTTAGTAAATGCTATAAAAATAGCCTACAGCCATTTCACATGGATGCCCATGCAAAGTCTTGGCTGTCCTGCTTTTCCTCCTTCATGATAGTTGATTTGTAGCAGTGGACACTGGAACTTGGCACCAAGGGGTCCAAGGAAAGAGATTGGTCTCTGGTGGCAACTTGCCTCCAGGTGAGTTTGGTATCTCTTGTGCCTAATGTACTGTGAGTGGACTTTGGGCGCTGTTTTACAGCAAGCTCTTATTGAATAAACCTCCTAATGTATTTAATGGTCTTTTTCACATATTGTCTTTCCCTTTTAGGTAATCCTGGAAAATATAGACTCCATTAGAGGGACTGTTGCAGATATAGAAGCCTATAGACCTGCTCTTCCATTATCAGCCTCTGGAGTGCGGTCACTTTGCGTATTCAGGAGAATGGGTCGACTCTTGAGAGAGGCTGAAGTGCTGGAAAAGGTTACCAAGGAGCAGAATAAGCTTTTAGAGGTATGAGACATATTTTTGTATCTCAAGGACGAATAGGCAGGATCGATGTACCATCTTGTTTCTGTATGTCTCTACAGACCTATGTATTATCCACAGTGTCTAGTCAGATATATAGCAATAGCAGCTGTCTGTAGTGATTCAGAATTCCATTTTTCCATGGAGACAAGCCAAACAATTCTTCAAGAGCTGATAAAAACTTACAAAGTAATACTATTTTTCCGGTCTTTATCTCACGTTTCTGCCTGACAGAACAACATTTTCTAAGGAGTTAATGCTGGAAGAAGAGAAATGATATTACTTCAGTATATGCTATTTTGAATATAACCGCTTGAGCAGAGAAAAGGTTTTACCCCCTTCATGAACAGGACATTTTTTTTCTATACCGTACTGTGCTACTTTAACTGGTAATTTCGGTCATGTAACGCTGTACCCAAACAAAATTTAACACAAATAGACCATTCTTTTTGTGGTATTTGATCACCATTAGATTTTTTATGTTTTGCGAAATAAATGATAAAATACTGAAAATTAAAAAAAAAAAAACCCAAAACAAATATTTTTTACTTTCTGCTATAAAATACATCCAATAAATAAACTTAAAATAATCAAATTTCTTCGTAGATTTTGGCCAAAATGTATTCTGCTACATGTCTTTGATTTAAAAAACAAAAAACAAAACAATAAGTGTACTTGATTGGTGAAAGTTTTAGTACCTACAAATTATGGTGTGTATATATACTGAATTTTTTTTTAATCCAGATAATGGCAGTGATCAGCGACTTATGATTGGACTTCGGGATTGCATAAGGCAATCTGACACTAACTGACACTGACTAAATGCCACTGACAGTGACATTAATATAGTAATTCGGTGATAATACTATACACTGTCACTGTACTAATGACACTGGCTGGGAGGGGGGTAACATCTAGCGATCAACAGGTTAAATGTGTACCTAACTATATGTAAAGTGTGTTTCTCATCTCCCTCTGTACAGAGTTCTGTGTTGTTTACCAACCCAGAGCTCTGGGCTGTGATTGTACACAGCCGATTAGTAGGTCCCGGCCGTGAATCATTGGCTAGGACATGTTGACAGGCTCCTGCTGTGTACAATCACAGCGAGTGTTGGGGGGGAAGGGGGGCACGTGCCCAATTTACAGATATAGGCAGTGACATAAGTCACTTCACCCATAGCAGCCACCCATCTGCAGTACATTGTGGGCGGGCGGTTGTAAACTGGTAAAAGTCTAACTGTAAGTACAGACTAAAATCAATATGTAAACATTGCATACGTATTAAATTGTCTTAAATGTCTTAAATTGCCTAATAATCATTCATTTATAGAAAAAAAATACCCGATGATCCTGCCAATTAGAGGTTGCAGAGAAGTACATATGTATTATTCATTGTACAGCTACACTTAGTCTTGTAAGGCTGGCCATAGATGGAGCAAACATCTTTGCAGCAACCACAGGTTGCAGGAAAGAAATTCATAGACCATGCTGACAGGGGAATCCCTCCTGCAGAGCCATTGTGTTCTCTTGGCGGGGGTAGCCATACCTGCCGGGAGAACACAGTGATTATTGCTAGTGGCTATAACAGCCCCTGGCAGTAATCACATGTAAAATCGATCAACTTGGGTACATTCAGCCTGCTCATATATTCCTGCCGAACCGGCCAAGATTCAAACCATCTATGGCTGGCTTAAAATGTTACTAAACCCAGGACCCTGCATTCACTATATCTGGTCTCCCACAGTACACAGAACATGGAAATACAACTATTCTAGTAAATGTAAACTGCTAAATACCTTTCCTCATCAGCAGGTAAAGTAGTCTTGTGACTTCTATCAGTGTCCAGCAGAGCACTGGTTACAGCTTGTAGGAGGAGTTTTCATTCTCCTGTAGTAGGATGCAGGACCTCTGACCTCTGTCTGGAGATTGCTGATTGTCCCTGTGCTGATCACATGCACTATCCCAAGAAAAAAAAAACTCTAGCAATGCACACCAAACTGAGCATGTGCAGTGTGTCCACGAGCCTCTGTTCTATGAGGAGATATTTGTGAGACACTGGAAGAAGGGAGGATCAGAGAAGAGAGGATCAAGCATCCTTTTTACACAATATGGAGGCTTAACCCCTTAGGTTCCACAGTATAACAAGCATGCTTTACTGCATATACAGACAGATTTTACTGTTGTGGGTTTAGTAACACTTTAAGGTTTTGTGGATCATATAAAGTGTGATTTCAGGTGCCTCTAAGTTACTTTTTTGTCTTAATTAGATTTGATTTAAACATGATTTGCTTAATATCTTCCTACTCAGCCCTGCCATCTCTTTAATATGGTCTGTATGCCTGGGGGGACGGTAAGGGTCGCTGATCATGTGACCACTATTGATTGATTGGTCCTGCTTGCTACTGACTGTTAGTGGGGACCGAGATGTGCTATGCAGGAGACAACAGGTTAGGGAGTTGCAGCAAGCTTTTTCAAGCCTACATTGAGCTGCTTCTGAGTAGGGACAAGCTCATGCGTTTTCGGATCCTAGTCCAAACCCACTTTAGCAATCCTGCCAGGAAGCTGTCACTGCACAAAACCAGTCATAGGTGGCTGAGACATTCCCTGCTCTGGGGCCAACCTGTATACCTGCGGCTACTGGGCCGTAAATGCCCTGGCTACTTATCGACTTTGTGCAGTGACAGGTAGGTGAGTTCGGACTAGGATCCTGACACACCTGAGCTCATCCCTGCTTCTGAGCTGCTCTTGTACCCATGTTAAGATAACAAATCAGCTAGGATCCAAACAAAATCATGTGTACCTGAGTGTTCCACTAGTTTTTAAAAATTTTTAACGGGAGCGCTTTATTAAAAGTACATAAAAAGGACATTAACTTTTTTTTATTTATTTTTTTTTTTATTTTGTGTAGAGTACATTCACTTTCCTATCACAAATACACAATATGTTACTTTCATTAGTCTTCTGAAATAAAGGTATAGATCAGTACCTGTTTGTTGGAATCTTAGCCATTCATAAACAAAATACACAAATCACAGTAAATCATGAACTTTTGTTTTATTTCTTTTTTTTTTGTTTCCTTTGCAGCCAATCATTGGTGAAATGTTAGACCTGGAACAAGAGCAAGAAAAGCTAAAACAAATCTCAAAGAACTTTACGTATGAAACTCCTGATATAAAGGTAAATAATGTATTTTGAGTGTTTTGTACGCATATATGCCCGAAATAGGTGACAAGAAATTCTAAATTGTGAGTTGTCCTCTAACGGAAATAGAAGAGTAATCTTCCAAGAGGGACGCTTATAAGAGGGGGTTACCTTCATTTTGAAGAGTTTTTATCTCACTTTCTGTTTGTACAGGACAGAGAGAGAAGGATGTGTCGGGACTGATCTAAATAGATCCTTGTTCTGTTCATGGTCACCTGAGAAATCTTCACATCTGACACTAGTGGGGAGTGTCAGATGCATGCCTAATTCAGTTTTCATTAAGACATTTCTGTAGTCCAGCGTTTCTCAACTACAGTGCTGTGACCTCTGGTTGAGAGAGGCTGTCAGGCTCCCACTCCTCTGCTGAACTACTGTACATCAGCACAGCAGGAGCTTGGTCAGACAGTGAAAGCAATGGAAAGGGAGGTGGCTTCCAGAGTCTGGAGCTCTCCTCCTCCCGCTACAGTGCAGTATCCAGCAATGCAGTACCCAGTGTAGGTACTGTTTTGCAGTTTATAAAAAGGCTGCATGTATAAATAACCAAAAAAAAAAAAAAAAATGATATCTATATAACACACACACACACACCTACACCTGTGAGACCACTTTTTTTTTTGTCTATTTGTCACACTTAAATGACTCAGATCACCAAACGCATTATTACACAAAGATAACCCAAGTAAATGCAAAATGCAGTTTTTAAATGATTTGATTAAGGGAAAAAAAGCTGATGTGTTGGGTCGCCCATTCATTTCAATGGGTTTCCTTACCCACAGAAAAACAGGGAAAGAATTCCCCAACCCTTTTTTTAAAAATTGCCCCACACCAATATTGAGAATTAATGACACCCCTGTGTGTCTATTAAAGAGCAGCAAATTTTCCTGCGTGTCAGGAACACATACAATTTTGCGTGCGTTCGACGAGGAGTAAATGTGAACTAAGCCTTAGACTGGGGTGCCTCAAGCCTGAAAATACTTTTCAAGGGTGCTCTGACTGGGAAAAAAGTTGAGAAACACTGTGGTAGTCTGCCGATCAACCCAATTCTCCATAATCTGTTACTGAAACACACCTACTTGTGATGTTGGAACACTAACCACACTGCCTTTCGCATACAGAATGCATTTAAAAAAAAAAAAAAAAAAAAGCTAGACCCCTTCATCTCCAAGTTTGGCTATAGTTTAAACTCACTTCATAACGTAATCTAGTGACTGCTTCCACCTTGAAGCCTTTCTCTGCATTATAGTCACAACCTCGCCTTCCTAAGAGATATGGTTGATATCTTCAAATAGCACATTTCTACTCTTTGCATGTGAAAGGTTACTGAACACTTGATTGTCTAACCCAATATGAACAAATGTGTCTTACTGACCCCCATGGTCCGGGCCTGATATACAGGCTATATGCTCAACTAAACTCCGCTACGAATTCCTCCCTGTGCAACCAAGTGGACTACTGACCTTGATATCCCCATTGACCCAGAAGACTCTAAATTCTATTTCTCAAATATATAGTAGCATTGGAGACCATCTACAGGGTCCTTGCTAGAGGGTGTCTGGCTCCAGCTGGAATAACTACATTTTTCCCACAGTATCCTCCAGTTTTCTTTAGGGGTTGTGGTGAACTAGGAAAGTATATTCACGTATGGTGGAGTTGCCCAATGGTGGGTAAATTTGGGCAGACGTGTTTCAAATGTCCTGTCTTACTGAGGCCTCCCTTTCTCCTGACCCTATGTTGGCCCTATTGAACAAATGCCCACCAGATTTATCCCAGGCTCAATTGAAACTCCTTCTATAAGTCAATACTGCATGCAAACAAACCATCGCTAAAGCATGGAAAACCCCAAATCTCTGCCTCATAGAGACAAAACATAGGATCAAGCAAGCTATAATTCATGGTAAAATAGAGGCAATGCTGCTGGACAAAATACCTAACTACACAAAAATATAACAGATATAGGTGAAGCAATTTTTAGCGCCACATTTTGACTGTTCCTTTTTGGAGCTATGATTGGTGGAGCTATATCAGAAATTAGATGACTCTACACTTTGTCTTTACTGACTAGACATCAAGTGAGAGATCCTGTACCCCTATAAAGAAAACTAATGCAGTCACTACATTTAAAGGTGAAGTTTACCTTTTTGTTTAAAAAAAAAATAATAAATTTAAATAAATGCACATCTTTTTGCAGATAATAAAATTTGCATTCATTATTATTTTTTTTTAATTGCAGCTTGTAAAGCTTTCAGCAGATCACCAGTGCCATTCCTGCATCCTGCAAATTCTCATACGTACAGGCAGACAGTTACTAAATGGCAGGAGCAATCCATAAACTATGAGAGCTCTCACCAGCACCCTCTGCAGTTCATTGGGAACTGAAAGATGTCTGCTGCAGTGACAGGCAGTACTTGTAGTCTATTCACAGAAAACTGTGAATGAATGACATGGCTGTGTGGGGCAGAGCTCCGTACTGCCACATTGTTTTTGAATTGTGACAGCGGGTGCAGGGAGAAGAACCCCTGCCTGCTGTCAGAGAGGGGAGTACTAGCAGCAGGAAGTGGGTGTATATGAGTATGTTACATGGTACACCCTAAATAACACATAACATGCTAAAGGTGAATGTATCCTTCAAGGATTAGTAAGCTGTAGTATATATATATATTTTTGTTTGTTTTTAATACAGAGTTTAATACAGCTTTAAGTTGCTGACCCACAAAACATATGCAGAGAGACTCCTGACTTTAAACTTATTACGTTCAAAGAAAGATGAGTTTTGATTGGCTCTGGATTCTGACCCTTCTACATTGTTTTTTGAATAGTAAGCCATTTCACAGTTTGTTTATCTGATTTACCTTTAGGATAGGAATGAAGAATTGAGGACATTAATGGATGGATTAAAGCAGAAGAAGGAAGGGGTTTTACTTTCTCAGAGAAGCTCAGTTATTGACCAACTGGTGCGTTTACAACAGGAACCAGAGGACCTGGATTTGGCAGCTCTTTTGTCCCCAGTAATTGAAGGAGTAGACAGTTTAAGCGAGGAGGTAATACAAATCTTAATATCTGTGTTGTAAACCAGGCTGATAAACCAGTGTCTGGAACAAACTTTATGCTGTTTCTAAATATATAACTGCAGGATTCCTAAACTTTTAGCTCAGACCTTCTTGTCCAGTCTAGTATCACCATGCCATGATGAAGGGGGCTTTTGGAACTCCCAATGCGTTGGCTGATTTTTAATCGACTGTTGTGACAAACTTTTTTATGGACTGCCATTGATACTTTGGCTTTCGCCAAGTCTTGGCACTTTGTGCACTTAAGAGCTGGCTTGTAAAGAACTAGATGAGAATACTACCCTATACTGAGGTGCAGCGCTCCATCACCTCAGCTCCTCATTAGGACGACTCAAGGCATCAATAAAATGTACAAGCTCACCTTTTTGATTTCAGCCTTTGCAAGTAGCATATGTCAAGGCTCCATTCTCATCAGAATAACTGGTGGGCTCAGAGCATAAGTCCAATTTATCTTTTCAAAAAAATAACAAGTGCGATTTATATGAATATTTTTTTTACTTTACTGGTGTACCTAGATCAGTGAATTTCACTAGGTGGCGTTCTCTTTGAAGAACATCAATTTCAGCGAATGTGGACATTTTGGAAGATCTGTTGGAATTTAAAAAAAGAAGAGAGGTGTAGTTGTACAGAGCAGCTCATCAAATTCCAGCTTTCATCAGATTAAAGCTGTCAGAAATAATAGAAGATGATTTCTGATTCGTTGCTATGCATGATATTTTTTGACCTGCTATTTTGGAAAGCATATCTATATTTGACAACATAATATATGTTTCTGTTACATCTAGATGCACTGGAATGATCCCTGTGTGCTTTGCCATCACTAGTCGAGGAGGTGGAAGAATACTCACTAACTACAGAGGTACAAAATATTTTTGAAGCTTGAAGATTTTGGTTAGTAGTGTCAGTTATCTTTTGAAACAGCTGCCACACTGGAGGATATGTAATAAAACCCAAATACACCCACGCCAATAAACTCACATTAAATTATTCAACTACTGTGCCTTAAAACCAGTCCAGTATCTAACTTAAAGTGATACTAAAGGCTTATCATTATATTTTTTTTAATAACATGCATGTTCTACTTACCTGCTCTTTGCAATGGTTTTTCACAGAGCAGTCCCGATCCTCCTCCTTCTTGGGACTCCCAAAGTGGAGACCTCCTATCTGCCCCTTGAAATACCTTGTCAGTTATCTTTTGGAACAGCTGCCACACTGGAGGATATGTAATATAACACAAATACACCCGCGCGTTGGAGGACTCTTGACTTGCTCCTGCATCTTACTTATCTTGGGTTTCCCATTGATGGCAATGTGGAAGTCTTTTGACACCTATTCATATGTAGAAGTCGGTTGCAGATCCCAAAATGTTTTTCTTTGGAACCTATTCAGCATATAGGAGGACCAGGAGTCCACTAATAAAATAGTCTATCTATAGCTAAAAGCTTTTTAGTGGATAAATAAAGCATTGGGTAAAGCCTTTTTTTCCCCCTATTTTCCTAATTGGGAGATCATCCAAATTCCTTTCCCGTAGATGAAAGTTTAAAGTTTGAAATTTAGAGGAAATTTCTCTAGTGTGGTTTAGTTGTTACTGGAACAGGTACCCCATTGTGATACCCCCCCCCCCCCTTAACTTTTGTTCTACTGTCAATGCTAATATTTAGAATTTTCTATCAATTTGTGCCACGGTGACAATGACATCAGTGAGACACATTCAACCCCCCCCCCCCCCCCCACCAATAAATAAATAAAAAAAAAAAAAAAAGTGTGGCTACAGGATCACTTTTATCTATGACACTTTGTCATAAATAAGAGAGTGTCTACAAGAGGCTGACTGAATGGGATGACATGTAGTTCAAACGATTTGCTGCAACAGATCATTAGTAGGATCCTCGATTCTCATTCGGGCAGCTAAGAAGGTATGTGGACAAACGTGTTTCTTGTTGTTTAGAGAATTGCTTTCACATTTGATTTTACACCGTACTTCCAGCCTGCAGGGGTTCACAAATCCTTAATTAATCTCATGTAAAAAATACTTTTCAGGCAGCAGACAAAGTGGCAGTTGTCAGTGAAGCAGTTGACCTTGACGTGGAGGCTAATGAAGAAGCAGGCGATGACTTTATTTCTCCAGTTACATTGGATCAAGTGACCCAGGTAAATTGATTTGTTTGCTTGCTTGCTAACCATTTCTGTTACATTAGAGTTGTCAAACTCCATTTCATCACAGGCTGTATCAGCATTATGGTTGCCCTCAAAGGTCCAGTTGTATCTGTAACACTATATAAATGTATCTACTCTTTATCCAAATACATAATTGCCTCTGCATTGATTATTACAGGTTTTAGTAATAGCGTAATAGGTAGCTCTGAAAGTAGAAGTCTAGGAAAAATAATGGCAAGCCGATATTCCAGTGTACAACTTTTGTGCAATTTATTGAAAAATTTGCTTTGGCATATTGTATTATTCTTATAATTATATTCCAATATCCAGAGCAACCCATCTCCTTTACATCAGATGTCAAGAGTCCTCCACCCTGCTTTACATCATAATGCAACCCCTTACCTTGTGCTGCTGCTCGGAAGGAGGCGGAGCTGGGCAGCAGTGCAGGGTCTGGAGGAGGACCAGAGGAGGGCTGGAATCAGCTGCCAGGGACCAGAGGAGGCAGAGATGAGGGGGTATTGTGGCTGCACAGAAAGGCACAGGATATGTAGGAGGAGATCTGTCCTCTTCTCTGCTGCCAACTGCTGAGATGGGTGGGGGCATAGACAAGCCTCTTCGCAGCTGCACTGAGAAGTGCAGGATCTGGAGAAGTTGTTCTGTCATCCTCTCTGCTGACAACTGCTCAGACAAGGTTGGGGAGGAGATGAGAGTGCTGCAGCTGCAGGAGAGGTGCAAGGGCCAAATGAAATGGCCGGGTGGGCTGGATTTTGCTTGCGGACCTTGTGTTTGACACATGTAGTTTACATGAACGTGTGACTCAATTATTAGAAACGTCTGTAAATGGTATTAACTTCTTTTAAATATATGTCTGTTATATTTTATATGTTTTATTAATTGCAAGTTCTACGGTAATTGATTCTACTCCAGTGGTGACATCACACTAGGGGATCATTTTTATAAATGTTTTCGCACAACATTTACACACCTTTCACCCAAGATTTGCACATTTTTCTAATTGAATTCCATTGGCAAAAAAATGTGTGAATCCTGTGTCAAAGTTGTATGAAAACATATATAAATAGACCCCATTGTGCACTGTCACATACTGGAGTAGAATCCTATATACTGCAGTTTTTAAAAATGATTTTCTGGGTTAGAAAAAAAATAAAAACCGTGAAAGAGCACCACATGCAAAGAAGGGGACTCACCCACATGTCCCAGCACACGCTTCTCCATTCTTGGCTGCGTTCTCGATCCAGCGCCGTGCCTGAGATCAGCTTTTTTGGCTTTTTCCTCCCTCTCTATTAGCTACTGCTGCTGTCTATCAAATTCAGTGATGAGATAGTAGGGGCTGAGCACAACTGTGTGTGTTAACAGACACACACAGCCCGACTCAAGATCGAGCCCTCACAGCTCCTTTGGTATATGCAGAAGAGGAGGAGCCCAGAGCACGGGTGGAGGACCCCAAAAGAGAAAGATTAGGGCTGCTCTTTTGCAAAACCATTGCACAGAGCAGCTAAGTATACACCTATTTTGTAATTTTTTAATTCTTTTTTTTCCAAATAACTATCACTTTAAACCTTAATAATAGACATCTCATATTTATTCCCTTTTGGTCTGTTAAATATACTATTGAAAGCATTTTTTTAATATTTGTTCAATAAGTGCGAAAGTACCTGTTAAACCTGCCAGAAGACTTGTCTCTGCTTGTACTGCATTGTTATCAGTTACACTGTTCTGTGTTCTCTCTGTGGAATACAGAACACTTTCCTCTGGTGTTACGGTCTTTTTGTGGTCTAGGAGTTCTGAATCCTGTGGTGATTTGTTGTAACGTTATGTGTAGTGTGCAGTCCTGGAGGCTGCTCACCAAACATTGTGGTGTCCTTCTAGACCCTTGGAAGAGATTACTTAAAGCGGAGCTGCACCCTAAAGAAGTAGTTCCGCCCTAAGCACTTGTCTCCCGCTCCCCATTAAGGATTGGCACCTTTGGGGAGTGGGTACCCGAATTTGACAGGTACCCACTTCCACTGTGATCGCCTAGGTGATGAGAAGCAGAAGTTGTCCTCCCCCCTCCCTCCCCCCCATAGTCTTCTGGGACATGTGACAGGTCCCAGAAGACTACGGGGCCATTCACAAAGTGCAGCGCTTCTCGCTGTCACAGCCGGGTGCCTACACTGAAGATGCCGGGGAGAGAAGATGGCCAGTGAAACCAGCCTTGGTGAGGACACCACTGGACTGAGGGGCAGGTAAGTGTCTCTGTATTTTAAAAGTCAGCAGTCTTTAAAAAAAAAAACAGGGGCACCACATTCGTTTCTACAGTCCATAAAAAAAATGTATTCTGCAACAAAAGCCAATACACTTCCCCTTTATCAGGCCTGTGGAGCAATATCTATAGGGTATGGGATACCGTCCAGGGCTGTAAGTTGGAACCCAAGTAGGCATGTAGGGATCATGCAGGCGCTTGATCAAAAGACATGTTCTAGAGGAGATAAAGAGGATTTTGAAGTCCTGCCCTAGACTCTCACAACACTGCTCCTCTACAGATACAGTACACTGAGCGTGGTCACCCTAGAACAAGAGGTATATTACTGGCAGGATCACCAATAAAAAAAAAAAAAAATAAAGGAACAACATCCTGAAATGGAAACCTGAAAATGCAGTCACCATATGCTGCAACACGCTACATTTTTGCATTTTTGTCTCTTTAGAAACCAAATGAAAGGTAACACTGTATGCTTGTTATGGGTGAGTAACCTCGGGAATAGTGAAGTCAGGAAACAAGGGATTTCAGAAGCAGGTCAGCAGTGTCAGCCTACAGCTCTATCTACACAGGTTCCCTTGAATTTGTAGACCTGCTTGGCAGGAGCAGAGTTAACAAAATCACTCACTTCCAGGTAGGTACATTTAGTTCCCAATTTGACGTAAACAGAAGAGTTTACCAAATACACCGCTGCTAAAAGCCGTCACTTGCTTTGTTCCCACTGAGCGCCAAACATTGACAACAAAGACATCTTGACATGGGCAACATAGAATTTTTCTTTCTCTCCCTCTGGAGGTGGATGTGCTAACAAGATCATTTGAGAACGGTGATAAGGATACTTCATCTCAGTTTCTGCTGAAAAATAGATGAGCCGAGGGATAGGAAAGTGTGGTCGCATACAGGCTACGCTTAAAAAAATCTCTCTGCACAAAAAAAAAAAAAAAAAATCCTCATCAGTTTGGCAAGATCATTTTGACATGTATCTGTACTGTACAATTTAATACCTCCTTATTGCATTAATAGGGAACACTATTTCACAAAACACTTTTTTTTCTGACAAGATGCTAATTTTCTTCTTCAGTTTTCTTTTTTCTTTGGTTTTTTTTCCAGTAATATTGGAAAATCTTTTTCATGCTCTTGAGTTTTGCGGCAATAAATGACTATTTTTTTGGTCCCTCAAACTGTCAAAGTGGAGGTTTATTTAAATCAGGATTCAGCAACCAGTAGATCGGTAGATCGCGGTCAGGGCTTGCTGACCCGCCATCCCAGAGCATCAAACTGAGTGCAATGCAGAGAAGCTACTTGTAAAGTTGGAGCTGTAGTAGGGAGCAGGAGCTGCATAAGCCGATGCCTCCTCTGTAGTGCTGGCTCCTGCCCCATGTGAAGTGATACCAACTGCACTCCACCTCTGTTCCTGGCTAGCGATCTCTAGAGTGGTGCCATCAGCTGGAAAGAAGAGATCTTCAGGTCAATATGAAGCAATAGACTGGGCATAATAGTATAGTGCTGCTTTCACACTGATGCTCTGTGGTTTACCCTCACCATGGGTGCAGTGCTGTGTACCTGCAGCTTTCCTGAGGGTTTGCTGCGATTATCCAAAGACTTCTGTTCTATCCTGCGGATTTGGTGCGCTTTCAGAAAGTTGACCACACCTGCAGGATATAGTAGAAGTTTATGGAAAAGTGCAGCTAGCCCAGGAAAGTCACAGGTGCCCTACACTGCACCCACAGTGCATGTAAATTGCAGCACTTTAGTGTCAAAGCAGCCTTATAAGGGGACTCAGAACAGTAAGGGATCATTTACAATTGAAGCTTGGGGGGGGGGGTAAAACACCATAGGTAAAGACTTGTTTTACCACCCCCACTGCACCCCTTTTAGCAGTAGTAGCTGGAGATGTACACATGTCGCTGAGTTATGGTTGGTCGGACGTATGCAATCACACTTTCCTATCCCTGTCAGGGTTGGTGGGTGTAGCACCTGCCAAGTATAACTCATTCAAGTAAATGAGGCCGCTCTGCAAGTGCCCTGCAACCTTCTGCAGTAAAGCAAACAAGGGTTTAAAGCAGGCAGCGTTGTGTTGCTTTCTCACCACCTACTTCAACTCCTTGGACCCCGCAGAAGCATGCAGTTGCAGGGCACTTGCAGAGTGGCCCCATTTACTTTAATGGATCACGATTGGAGGCAGTAGCACCCACCAAAAGCAACAGGGGGTTTAATACCTGCTGTGGCATGTGTATACCTTCGGCTGTTGCCTTAGCAGATAAAGGGGGTAGGGATTGAGGGGGGTAAAATCCTGTGGATGAGTCACATTTTTAGGGGTAGGGATTGAGGAAGGTATACCTGTGACTCAACCACAGGATATTACCCCCCAATTTTACATGTGACCAAGCCCTAAGGTTGCTGCTGCCACATGCAACTTAAGGGTTCATTCACAAGTGCAGCAAGCAATGCTGCTCCTCTGAAAACTGATCCGAGTGTGTTTGACAGGTGGTGAGGGGGCAATATTTTGCCTTATCACTTGATTTAAACCCATGATTGCTATGCAGTGCACGTGATTGCAACACAGTAGTACAGCAATTAGAGGTTTTAAATCAGGTGTGAGGTGGGTGACACTGTGCCCAGTGATCTTTTGACTTCTCCCATGTTATTCAGATAGATCCCCACCTCTTTAAGGTTGCCTACCCCTGATTTAAAGGCTTAGTTTACCTTTGTAATAGCAGTCATTGGTCCTCAA